GAGCATTAAAATAAAAGTATTCAGTCTAAATGTTAATGTTGTCAGACCCATGTATGATAATAACTAATGAGCGGTTAATACATACATTTCTGTGTGACATTAGGGATTGGCTATGTGATCAAACCCCATTCTGTGTGAAGTTTTAAACTGTGTGACAATAAGAAATGGCTGTGTGATCAAATTCTATTAAATATGAACGGTTCTTAATTTTATAATGTATTGCATAAGAGAATGGCTGTGTGATCTAGTTCTATTAAATATGAGCAGTTCTTAATTTTATACTGTGTTTCATTAAAGAAGGGCTGTGTGATCAAATCCTAGTTAACATGGACGAACCTCATACTGTGTGACATATGAAAATAGCTGATTATTATGATCTAACCCTGTCTTGTGGGTGACCTGATCAAGTTGTGTGGAACCAATAATGGCTGTGTGATCAAATTATACTGTACTTTGAGATGGCATATACACGCTATAATCTATATTATGTCAACGGTGTACATACTGGATATGAATTTAAATGAAACATCAAACGTTCAGTTATATCAGCAAACTTCTCGGTATCTCTTTCCTTGTTCCAGGTCTCCATCGGAGAGAAGAATGATGCCCGTGGGACACGGTCAATGCAGGATGGCCGAGTGTTAGCGACTACTTCCGTTTCCTCGACCGGCCACCCTGGCTACTCCACAAATACCAAATAGTTTACACATAATAATACATCCGGTTCCTTTATTAGTAAAATAAATAGGCAGTGACTTCCGTTTCCACATCATTTGAATTTGTTAGAATTTAGCTTAATATATATTATTTAAGTAATTAACCTTAGTTAAATAATTGAGTTTATATTTTGATTTATTTAAGACAGTGCAGATTTATTTTATTTATAATTGTTTTGATATTACGAATAAACAGCCGCTTAGTTTCCGGTGAAAGTATTAGGATAGGTGGGAGTATTTGTCAGACGGCTATATAACGGCTTGTAACGTTGATTGTGGGACATTCTGTCTTGTATAACATAAGGCGTCACTCTGCTGGAATATACGTGTAAAGTGTCTACAGTGTGTTATTTTACCAACCTAGTCTACGTCTTAACAAAACCCCCCCCCCCCCCCCAAAAAAAAAAGAAAAAAAAAAAAAAAAAAAAGGGGGGGTGTGTGGTTTTGGGGGGAAAAAAAAAAAAACCCCCAAAAAAAAAAAAAAAAATTTTTTTTTCCCCCCCCCCCCAAAAAAGGGGGGGGTTTTTTTGAAAAAATGTGGGGTTTTTTTAAAAAAATTTTTTTTTTTTTTTTTTTTTTTAAAAAAAAAAAAAAAAAAAAAAAATTTTTTTCCCCGGGGGGGGCGGGAACCGGCCGCCCCCGCGTTCCCTGCTGTTTCTCTCCCCATTGAGCTACCGAGTCCTACACCTCATCGTCGATTTTTTCAAGTTGTCAACACCGGTTCAAGTCCTGCCCGAGTCGAAATTTTTTATTTCTTTTTTCGATTTTTAAATTATATAGTGCCTTCGTGTGCAATAACACGAAAAAAATGTTATAAAGCCGAAACGTTTGTTTGTTTGTTTCAAGGAACTAATCCTAGGATTTACTGGTTCGAATTGAAAAATAGTTTAGTGTCGGTTAGAGCATTTATCGTGGAAAGCTTTTGGCTATACACATCAGGGCATGGCTGATTGGAGCGTAGAAATAGAGGAAAAAGTGGAGAAAACGGGGAAAATTATTCACCTTAGAGCGTATCCGCTACGTGCGCTGCAAAACGATTCATGACACCAAAATATAATTCTTAAAATAGTCTAAAAAACGACGATAGTATATGTCTATCTTTTAAGATTAACACGCAAGAACGACGCCACGCGGACGATGTCGTGAGTAACAGGTATAATTTAGAAAGATAAGAAAATTTGCAAAAACAAATTTTAACGCCCGAAATAAGTATTCTACGCAGACGAAGTCGCTGGCACAGCTGAGTGATAAGATTAAGAAAAATATGCAATATTATCTATACGATAGATATAACAAAGAAAGAAAATGCGTGAAATTTCTTACAAACATGCTGATCGGTGGCTTGAAGTAATCCACGACCCGTTGTTTGAAAGGTCTATCACATTTACGAATATCGAAAGCTTGTTTGGACGTTATATGGCTGTGGTATTTCCATCCATCATCCATCCTTAAAAAATCTACTAAGTACAATACGACCAACGATTCTGTGAGAAATATCTTCGCAGTCGTTATTTACAAACAATATTACTTCAATTATTTAACAACACATTCCGTTCACTTAATGTCTCATAAAATTACTCAATGTTTGAGAAATTCGATTCATATTTATTTTATAACTGGCTGCGCCCGCGACTTTGTTTGCGTGGAATACTTTTTTTGAGATCATATGCTTTACTAGATGTTTCAGCGACCTCGTCCGCAAAGTTTTTAGGGCGTTCAAATTCCTATTTGCAAACTTCATCTTTATAACTGCTGCCCACGACGTCGGTCGCCTTCCTTCCCGTTGTTCTTACAAGTTAATCTTAAAAGATATTCATCATTCAGATCATTTAGAGAGGAATCATTCTTTCATACTTTTTTTTGGGGTATCTTGAACCGTTTTTGCAGCGTACGCCTCGGAAACCCATAATTTTCCCCGTTTTTCCCTCATTTCCCATTATGTCATCGCTCCTATTGATCACAGTCTGGTATTTTATAGAATCCACAGACCGAATACGATACGCGATTTTAACTTAACGGCTTTCTTATCTGTGGACGGTGGTCCGTGGCCCGAACGAAATTTCCATATTCCTACCACGTCCAACATATTTCCGATGAATTATAAATATGTTAGACCCGTTGGTGGTCGAACCCCCGACCCGTTGATTATTAGCGATACATTGCTATTATTACACCAACTAGCCCGTCCAATAATAACAACAAACAATTATATTTATTATATAAGTAAAAGCGGTTTCGTTTCTTTGTCAGTTGACAGTTGCAAGTGGACATGGTGGAATGTGATGGAATAATTTTATAATACTCTCTATACAAGCTTTTTAGTGCCAAAATGAAGACACTTACTATGTAAGTAGCGTTCTTGTGTTTGAAAACTTGAATATTTTTTTTAATTTTTATGTCAATAATCGGTTATTTTTGCACGACGTGCTGTGATTCCAGGGTACTCTTTATTTTGAGCAGCGTCAGTTTGAGCTGCACGTTCTGGGACGTCGGGACCAGCACAGTACCCCCCGAGCGCATTGACAAGATTGGCAGGATAAGTTTTTTTAGGTAACTCTTATCTAATACAATAAAGATGAAGACTTTCTTTGTTTGAACGCACCAGTCTCGGGAACCACCTTCATATTTAAAATTTGGTTGGTGAATATCGAGGAAGGCTTTAGGCTATAAAACATCACGCTGCGACCAATAGCAAACAACAGTATAAAACAGCAGTATATGTGGACCAAAGGTACACCTAAAGGTTAAATACTGTTATAGTGTAGGTAGTAGAGTCTCCCCGTGACCACGGCTGCTGCAAAGCATCCGAAACGTTGGGCCGAAGTTAAAAATCATTTCCAAATAAGTTTAACTAATATATCGCGTTTTAAACCGGTAAAGTGTTTTATTTAAACACAAAGGTTTTTTGAATTCGAGCCTAAACTAATTCCTGAGATCAGCGCGTTTAAACAAACTCTTCAGCTGCATGTATTAAACTAGCTGTGGCAGCGACTTCGTTCGCGTTTCTACTTATTTTGGGCATCGAATTTTGTTTTTGTTAACTTCTGGTTCAGTTCTATAAATCTTTATTACCCATGACGTCGTTCGCGTTTTTTTTAGACCGATCCCCTGTCAACTGTACCCCCCACCCTTCCCCCTGTCATCGACACTATCTGTATAGTGTCGATTTGTGTTAAGCTCAATAGATGGTAATCCCACATATTTTTTCAGATGGCAGAGAGCGGAATCGACACGTCATAAATTCTTAAAACCGGGAGTTGACTGGAACGATAATAACAATAGATTTCGACTATGTGTTGTCGCCGGAATTTCTATCGGTAAGACTTGATCGTCGTATACCTATTGTGTTTAAATAAACAGACATCCAAAACGTCGGGCCGTAGTTGAAATATTTTCAAATAAGATTAACAATATTTCAAACTTTAAGCCGTTAAAGTGTACTCGCGTAAACTTCAGACGTTATTTTACCGACTGTGCATTTTTCCTAACTTGGCACAAGACCACAACTAATATGGCCGATTTAAAACCATTGAGAACTAGTTATAACCTATCAGAGAGGAAGCTGTTGCCACAGGGGTCAAGAGACCTATCATCCTATCATGACCTTTACTTTAATGTTTTATGTATTTAATTCGGTGTTTGTGAAGTCTTTTAGCGATCGTGCGTGAGTGGGACTTCTATCTTCTATTGTCGTTGACTTTTTAAATCCCATCCCTATGTTAATGTCAAAGTAAGGATTAAATCTAATTTTAATCTGTCCATTCACGTAAACTCATTTTTATGTTTATTAATTAAGTCGCAATTGTGGTAATGGTCTCCCAAACAAGTTTAGAATATAATCCGACAGGCTCGTTGGTGTAATGGTGGCTATGTTTGGCTGATACTCCACGGGTCCAAACGAGATATAATTTTTCTGTAACACGTTGAACGACTAGCGATTTTATCCAGATTAAACAAGTGGTAAGAATATCAAAACTCCGTCCGGGTCACGAACCCCCGTCTACCCCCCCGTTCCCAGTGGTGCGACTGGTATCCCAGAGCTGGGAAAAGGTCAAACGATAAAAAAAATGAAATCCCGTTTCCCTCTCGTGGGGCATGGGGCAAACACATTTCTGAGTCCGTTTCACTGATCCTTTAACAGGCAACAGTGGATCAGACTTCTGAGCCCTGCCTGACCGAAACAATTGTTTGTTTCCCTGGGATTCGAACCTAGGACCTTTCGCTCCGTTTGGGTACAGAGGCGGTCAAACTATGACTATCACTAATGTTCCAATTATTGCAGATATGAAGCCCCTATCAACCGCTGTTATGTTAAACAAACGGATTCTAATAACGGCAGCGAATTACCTAGAGCCTTATATGAATAGACAGATGGACCTTCGCATCTGGGCTTTGGGCCGAGCCGGTCTACACACGACCCCCTACAGATACAGAGTGTGGCGGATCTGGCGGTTGTTCCCGAAGAGCAACAACCCCGAGCATTTACACGGACCAAGGGGCGAACACTGCCCGAGGCACGATGTTTCCCTCATCATTTCGAGAGACCCGATTTACATTTACTATGTATACCCATATTCATGGCAGTACCCACACCGCGCGTGGCTTATCGACCCGCACACGCCCATCGTGGGCACGGAGACGGAGGACCAGGACAACTTGCTGTTCGTCGGCTCCGGTTTCGAATATTTGGAGCACGTCAGGGAGAATTACAAGATATATTTCGCTCTACCGAAGGTGGAGCACATCGTCGACTGCTCCAAGTACCTGCCTAAGCACTGGGGCAAATTCATATGTTTCCGGAACGTGCACCATTATTCTGGCGTTCAAAATGGGGGGGGGCTGTTCCTTGGGAAACACGTGATTGGGATCGGTAGCTTCGAGATTCGTGTTAACGAAGACCGCATTCTGGTTTTCACAGACTTGAGATACTACACGAACATTATAAGGAAATACGCAAGTATACATCCGGGACAATATTACGAGTATGCCCACTCAGAATGGTTTGCGTATCAGTCCTATTTTATTTTGGGATGGGACAGACAGAATTCATTGAAACGCCTTCCCATACATTATGCCGATGGTAAAAACGTTGGCAACGTTTACACCCTTGGATAGCAGAATCAACACTGATGCCAATTGCACTTTTGTATGTTAATAGTAAATAGAGATCTTTTTTTAACATTCCACAAACACAGAAATACAACAAAATCCATACTTCAATAAAACACTTTAACGGTTTAAAACGCGATATATTTTAGTTAAACTAAGTGAAACGTCGGGCCGTAGTTAAAAATAATTCTCAAAAAAGTTTAAATTAAATTTATCGCGTTTTAAACCGTTACAGTGTTTTATTGAAATGTGTACTACTCGTGTAAACTAAAAAAACTGAAAATCCATACTAATATATTAAGCTGAACGTTTTGTTTGTATGAACGCGCTAATCTTAGGAACCACCGGTTCGAATTGAAAAATATGTTTGTATCGGTTAGAGCATTTATCGAGGAAGGTTATTATAGGCTATAAAACATCGCACGGTGTGCACAAGTAGGAGCGAAGACACAGCGGGAAAAAAACGAGGAGAATTTTTAAACCGACGATACAACTGCAAATGTGAACGAAACGGGGGAAATTATTCTGTGGGTTTCCGATGCGTACGCTGCAAAGACGGTTCAAGATACCCAAAATATATAAAAAGATATATGAAAGTGATTTCTTTTTAAATGATCTAAATAAGTCCGCGACGCTATATGACCTTCAAAGATTAAGTTGCAAGAACGACGGGACGCGTTCGACGAATAGTTATTTGAATTTCAGCATTTGTTTTTTAATAATTAATAATATTATATTTCAAAATAAATTGAAGCATAATAGAGTATTTTTTAATTATCTTAAGTGCTTATCTGACATAGTCTGTAATTAACGGGAATAGTATACATATAAATAAAACTCTTTTAACGGTCGAAAAGCGCGAAAATTTACTTAATTTTTAGTTTATGCTTTGATTTAGCCGCGTTCGCAGGGGGGATGAAACTAATATTTTATTTTTTAAACCGTTAAAAGTGTTTTATTTATATGCCGATGTGGTTATTATTTTTATGTTTACAATGATAGCCAGTCAGAATAGTGACAGACAGACAGCGAATTTCTATCAGTATGGTGCCTAATTTAACAATTTTTGACGGAACCCTAAAACAAACAATGTAACCAACCCAAATGAAACGAAACAATAATATTTCTCGATTTTTTATTAACAATCACATAAATTTACACTACCTCCTCACATTCAAAGTAACGACCAACATTATTATACAAGGAAAATCGTAATGTAATGTAATGTGTATCTAAGCACTGTAGAATATTACAATATTTTACAGTGCTTAGACATTTTTCTGAAATATGTTAGACTTCTTCTCGAGTATCGTAATAGATTAATTTGTTTCTGTCAGTTCAAAGCAGAAATAGGCCGACGGCGCATCTTGCTCGACTGGGGTGTTCAACGTGAATCCTATGTTTTTCTATCTTCCACTATCATTAAAACCTAGTATGCGAGAGACTACAATCGTTCAACTCACCAAAATACCCTAGCTGTTGGCTTTTCTACGAAACTATCGGTACTGTCCAGCACTTTCCGACCGAATTGTACCCTGAAGTGGTCTAAGTTCAGGTACTCGCCCTCAACGATCTCTAGGAGCAACTTTCTTACGCTATCTTTCGAATTTTGTACGAAGCAGGCGGCCAGTTTCATTTCGTTCTCAGCGTGTCTCACGCCTATACAGTAAGATCTGAAACAATAATAAATCAGTTATAATTTATTAAACAATATTTAAAAAAATCATTTATTGAATCGCTAGCTGCGCCCGCAACTTCGTCCGCGTGGAATAGTGACTTGGAGTAGAATTTTTATTAATTTAGGCTGTTTATTAAATTAAGTAGAGGCGTATTTCAGGCAGCCAATCTATGTTGTAAGTGCTACTTTTCCGTAACACTCTCATCTCACATCACTCCTACACTCACTCACTCCCACTCCCACTCCCACTAAAACTCCACCCTTCTCTATTCCATAAAGCCAAAGAAGGAAGTATCCTTGTTCTAGCTTCAAAAACAACCCTTTTTTGGCATTAAAAAGTAAATGTCCTTGCTCAGGCTCTAAAATATCTGTGTACCAAATTTCATTTAAATCAGTTCAGTACTTTTGGCGTTAAACCCGGACACACAGAGTTTCGCATTTATAATATTAGTATAGATAATAATTCGTTTTTAAGTTATATTAAATGTAATAAACCATCATAATTTATTTTTAATAGATTAAACTATATTAACTCACTTTTAATAAATTGAACAATAATTAAATTTTAAATGAGTAACTATAATAAGTCATTTTTAATTTTTAAAGTATGTTATTTCGTTGATTTTTAAACTATAGTTTAAAAATTGGTAGTTTAAAAATCCGTATGTAATATAAAATGATAACGCATAAATGAAAGATTTGCCCCTAGACAACGGATAGCAGAGAAAAGCACTTTTTTGACTACGACCAACAAATATAACAAAATAAAAGGCAAGTAGCATTACATTAACATGTGTTGTCGACCTTGCCATGCCTTTTGAATGTTGGAGCTCCATAAACCAACAACAGATTACAATTCAGGCCTCTATTTAGGTAAAAATTAAATAATTTAGAAAGATGAACGGCGGTGGGAGTCGAATCTGCGATCCGTTAGTTTTTAAGCCATACTGCGACCAGCGACCGGAAAGGACGAACCCGAAAGTGCGTCCTGAACAATACAGATATTCACCTCGACGCTCTCGATAGAACTGCAGCCATGACGTAAATCTCAGTGGCGGCTTCAGCCAGCCTATTCAATTCCCTGAAAATAAAAATCCTAAATTAAAGTCTACCGTAGCTTGAAAGGAATCGATAACATGGGATGGTGATTTTTAAAAATCGATTATACATTGAAAAAAATTACGACACGGCCAGTACTTGAACCGGCACACAGCGTTCGTGTTGCTCTAACCACTGCATCTCTCGCGCAATGTAATTTCAACCTTAACACTTACGCATTAATGTTCAACGTCTTATGCTTTGCAGCTTAAGAAAATCATTGAAGATTAAACCACAAAGTTATAACGTTCGATAACTTAAATATTTTTCACATGATGGCACTATATCAATTGAAAAAAAAAGTATTGATTTTTTTTTATAGTGCCATCATTTGCAATAACATGTGAAAAATATTAAAGTTTTCAAAAGAGGTTTCTGTTTCAATCTATACTAATATATAAAGCTGAAGAGTTTGTTCGTTTGAACGCGCTAATCTCAGGAACGACGGCTCCGAATTGAAAAATGTTTTTTGTGTTAGTTAGAGCATTTATCGAGGGAGGATTTATTTATCGTTTTATAAAAACCATACTACTAAGACTAATAGAAGCGAAGATACAGCGGGAAATGTGAACAAAACGGGGGAATTTTTTCATCTCTGTGGGTTCTGACGCTGCGAAAACGTTTCAAGACACCAAAAAAATATGTATAGAGGAATAATTCCTCTTTACATAATCTTAAAATGTCAACGACACTATCGGCCTTATTACAAAAAAACACTTAAACCAGAACTGCGGAGTCTGGGTTTAACTCTTTAACCATGGTCTAAATACATCGAAGATTCTTTTAGAACTTTGTTTCGGAACAAGGATTTCAAATAAACCAGGGTCTAAACCAGGTTTGAGAGTTAGCCCTTGTTTTGTAATAAGAGTGTATATGTCTATCTTTTAAGATTAACTCGCAAGAACGACGGGACGCGACCGTGGGCAGCTTTAATTCGTAAAGATGGGTAGGTTTACAAAAACAACGCGGACGAAGCCGCTGATACAGCTAGTGTTGAATAACAACGAACTTTTCATTGAAAAAAAATACAAGACCCAGTAGCTAAACTGCTCAGAGCAACAGAACGCTGTACGCCGGCTCAAGTCTTGCCTGTGGCGTATTTTTTTAACTCTACTTACGTAAAAGCACTTGCGACTTCTAAGCCGTGTCTGCCCATAAGAGTTTCGCATACAAAACGCATCCTCTTCACACAGTACTCCAAATTGTCAGAAGCTGGTTTCAAAGTGGGATGCAAGTGTTCATACAGATGGAGATCTAGCTTTGGTTCGTCCTTCTCCTACAAGAAAACAAGTAATGGAGAATCATTGTGTCGTATTTATTAACGAATGTATAAGTAGCGGCACGGATCTTTGGCGCTGAACGAATCCTGCGCAGAAGTCAAAAATAAGGTATCGAAGGGACGGAAGCGGGCGCGGGGCGAGTGAACGTCGTGTGCGCTAGCGTCGATTGGTCAGTCGTGTTGCCTTTCTCCGACCAATACGACGCTCCGCTTGCTTCCCGAGTACAGTCACCTTTTCCAATCAATTACGGGCGCGATTGTACAGATGTGCAACTACCTCCCCAACACTTCGTTCAGCGCTAAACATACGTGCCTCGACCTATAACTAGGTACTTATGTCAAAATAGTTCTATAGAATCAAGATGAACGGGCTAACATATTATTTATATTTTGTTTTACGAACCGAAATATTTTGTATACTTTTATAGAGAATGAAGTATATTTTATTGTTTGTTAAAAGCTCTAACTTTACGTTTGCTACCAGTTCTCAAATCAACGTAGCGCAGAACGAACGAACAAGAAGAACAGGCAAGAATCTCGCCGCCACTCCTTTTGTCGCCAAGTTTAATTTTACAGTCTTCACGAACTTGAGTGGTAGTGTGTGTGTGTGGAAATCGAACGGTTGGAAGATTAAATAAAGAGCCAAAATTAGTTTTATACCTACTCAATCGTATTATATATTATATAGTTTGTATACAATTGTGTTACTCATAAATATGTGTTACCTGGTGTCTATTTGCCAGAACCTTCTTGAAGATGAAGGATGGATTCATCACCGGATTCCGTATTTTCTTCACCTCGTCAGCCATAGTTCTGCTGGCGTGGTGCACACCGCGCAACGCTGGGTAACAATTTGTGAAGTTTACATAAAACACTTTAACGGTTTAAAACGCGAGTTTTTAGTGAAAATTGTTTATAATTTATTTTTAACTACGGATCCACATTATGATACTTTGCAGCAGTCGTGGTCACGGGGTCTTAAAAGTAATTTCTAAACTAATATATTTCGCGTTGACTATAGACATTACTGTTTTTGAGCATATTTTATTTTACATTTATTTTTATATTCGATTCCAAATAAAATAAAACAATTATAATTTAGTTAATATCTGATTAACGTATTTTTATTTTAAATTTTCTCAAATTTTTGAGAAAATTATACAATAAGCGATAGAAAACCTCATACCAATGAAGGAATTGACATCCTCAACATTTTCACCGCGTAAGGACAAACTCCTCATGTTTTCCAGCAGTCGGAGACAGTCTTTCTGCTTCTCAACTCCTGGTATCGCTAGTAGTTTCAACAGAATGCGCTGAGCGTGGTGCGCTATGAAATTCCTGGAAGTATATTAATATGTTAGAGATACATCAAACTAAATTTTTTTAAGTTTTTCCGAATATCCAAAGCTAAAATAGATGTGGCTGGGGAATACCTTCAAAGAAAACCCACTCTTGTCTGTCCTCTATAATAAAACCCCAGCGCTGACGACCTAATTGGTTTTGGTACCATTGCAGCAAGAAGCTAGTGAAAATAACGTTTTGAGGTCAAACTACAGTGTTCTATTACAAATTAAGTAACCCTTAGGGCGTCTAGCAGCGCATATATATATAAATCGACACAAAAAATCAAACTACCGTCGTTAAATTTTCTTTAACGAGGGTAGTTAATAACAATACTGACCTACACATGGCAACTTCTAGTTCAACATCCGGCTCCAAATAGCCATCCAGCAGACCAGCCGTGAAGTATTCTACACTCTCGCAGGCGTAGGTATATAATATTGCCTCTCCTATTGTGTACCTGATCGTTGATAATTCGGAAAGTGGCTTTCCTGATAAAAAAAAAAAAACCATTCATCAGGAAATGGACGGAGGATAGGCAAGTATGGGTAACTTGATGGTAGGTGAAGTACCCCAGCCAGGCAACAGGGTGTGTTGTCGACCTATTTTGGCTTGAAACGCGATTGAACTTGGCTTTTTAGCTGAGAACGGTGTTTCGTGATCTGGACGGAATCTTGATATTACTACCACAAACTGGATATTATCCAGATTTCCAAAAGTCCAACATGGTGATTGAAAATGACTATAAATTGATCAGAAATTAAAGTTTATTGAAGTTACAAAAATACCTTAACCATAAATTGATTATAGATAATAGATTGTTACCATAGCCAATCAAAAAAAACCTCTAAATACGTCAAAGTTTACGCGAGTAATACACATTTAAAAAAACATTTAACGGTTTGAAAATAATTTTTTAACAATGATTTTTTTGTAAAAAAAACATTTTTAAATAAGTTGAACTAATGTATCGCGTTTTATACGGTTATAGTGTTTTATTTAAACCTTAAGTCTTACTGTTTAAAAATCGAAAATTAATTGAAAAATTTTTTGACTCGGGCAGGACTTGAACCGGCATAGTCAGCGTTCCGTGCTGTTGCTCTAATCAATTTACAAGAGTCCCACACCTCATCGCAAGTGCAAGTTGAAATTACATTGAGCCAGAGGTGCATGTATCGATAAGTTGAAAAAAATCGACTATATAGTGCCATCGTGTGCAAGTAAAAAATAGTATGTACCTAACATGTAAGATATATCAAAGTTTTCAAACTAAGCCTTACCATTGAAAAACCTTGGTCGCACATAGTCAATACAAGCCTGTGTTGCCTGTTGCAGACTTGATCTGCACAGGGTGGCTGTATACAAACGATTAATACCCAACGTGTGACTTAACGTCGACTCGGTTGCCATGTCTAATGGTGTTGCTGTGAAAAAAAAATCCAATCTTATTCCAATCTTCTATTGCCATATCTGCCGTTTGTTTTGGTATATTGCGGTTCACCTTTTCCATATGCATAGACATACATATGTAGTGTATTTTTTCTAACTTCACATTTTTGCTACACAAACATACAATCGTGATTTGCTCACAAGGTTTACGTTGATTTGCACTAAAATCACTTTGAAACACTAACCTTTTTTAAATAAAACACTTTAACGGTTTAAAACGCGATATATTAGTTAAACTTATTTGGAAATGATTTTTAACTTCGGCCCGACGTTTCGGATGCTTTGCAGCAGCCGTGGTCACGGGGAGACGCAAACTGCTGCAAAGCATCCGAAACGTCGGGCCGAGGTGAAAAATCATTTTCAAATAAGTTTAACTAATATATCGCGTTTTAAATCGCTAAAGTGTTTTATTTAAATGTGTACTACTCGGGTAAACTATAGACAGTATTGACTAACATCTTAACAAGATGCACCGTCTACCTATTTTGGCTTTGGATACTCGGAAATCCAAACCGAGACGCATCTTAAACCTCATGGCTTTATCATTTGTGATTGAGGAGTGTGAGTCTGTAACTTGGAAGCAATTTTTGATTTCCTTCAACACATTTAATAATCAGACAGACCAGATGGAGCCCAATAAGTTACATAAAAATTATAATTTGACTTCAAACATGTTGGAACTGTAGTAGATCCAACCGTCGTTCTGTTGATTGTTAGCCATACACCGCTACCATTATACCAATCAGCCCGTCAAAATGTTGGCCTAATTATAACAAAACATACCAGGTGTATTGTGGAATGTCACAAAATTATCCTTAAGCAACACCCCCTCAGCACCAGGCTGTATAAGAAATGCCTTCAACCTACTGCCATCTGTGAGTGCTAGCAAAAGTATGTATCCAGTTTGATTTATGCAAATTTTTTCACCACTAATTCGCCACTCTCCTGAAAAAGATAAGAATGTTGAGTCATTTTATCAAGGCAACCATAAAAGAAAATTTATGTGACAGAGGGTAGAGAAGCAAGGCATTCACTTTGGTCCGATAAACCAACAGCCTCCACAGAAGGGGGAAGAGGAAATGGTGTGGACTGATCACCCGGCCTTCTATTGGTGTTCCCAATAGACAATAATATTTACTTGATGGTAAATTAACCCAGCAATATAACATCTTATGAAAATATATACAAACAATGTTTAACTTTGGATATTTGAAAATACATTTTTAATCATTAATACTTGTCCTAGAAGATATGTTAGTATCATATTATTATTTTCTATTGGGGAGGAGGCCAGGTGGGCAGTCCATATTATCTGCTCTTTCACCCATTTTTTACCTAAAGAGAACTAAGTCTGTTATAATGTTCCAGTTTTTCCATACTATGACACTGATACATAAAAGCACTTCTTGTTTACAACATTTATATTTTTAAATCATATATCTATACAAACAAAAAAATAATAAAATTAAAAAAAATTAAGACTGACTGATGATTCTATATTTGTCATCCAAACTAAGGCTACCTTGTTATATAAAATTGTTTTTCTATTCTCTCGACAAAATTAATATGTCAAAATGTCAAATAATATGTTTTTTTTCTAAACGTTAGAGGAGGACAGACATAGGTGATATACCCGAGTTTATAGCGCCTAAGCTTCTTGCTTGTTTGCGCTTTCAACTTATTTTTGTATATACTTTGGACATTTGGAATTTGGAGACTGACCACGTGACCATGACCACGGCTGCTGCAAAGCTTCCGAAACGTCGGGCAGAAGTTAAAAATCTATTTCAAATAAGTTTAAATAATATATCACGATTTAAACCGTTAAAGTGTTTTATTTAAATGTGTACTACTCGCGTAAACTATAGACAGTATTTAATCCACTGATTGAAACCAAACGCGGTTAAGCTTCACGGATTTTTCATCTGTGGACAGTGGTTAGTGACCCAGACTGAATTTCCTACAAAGTCCATATTTGGGAAAAATTTAAAATAAAAAATTAGAAACTTGTTGGTGGGGATGGAACCCACGACCCGTTGATTATTAGCGATACATTACTACCATTAGATCAACAAGTCTGATTTATTTTTGAAATACAACAGAAATATCAAGAGAATAGATTTTGTTTAGAGATAACTGTTAATATTTATTAGAAGTATCTTAAAAAATGATTCACACTGTATGAAGGTAAATAAAACTTAAAATCTATAAAAAAGCAAGCAAGTAAACCAAAACAATAGCTAGTATCACAATAACAATATAATTTCTCATCTGAATACTGCAGTGTTACAAGTTACGAGTAGTTTAATACAAACCTTTCTCATTCATAGTAGCAGCGGTCCTGAAATCTCCTTGAGCTAACCTGTCCGATAACTTCTCTTTGATACAAATGCTGATAGTGTCATTACCAGATATTAGCTCATCAATCACTGATGTGTAATTATCTTCACTTAATCCCTCTTTTAAAGCACTTAGTGCGACCCAATGATCACTAATTCTTTGTCCTAAATCTAAATCTGCTGCAATTACTTCTAAATAACGTATCAGTTCTGTTGAATTCGCTGCCAATCCATGTTTAGTAACACTCACTGTTGCCGCATACATATGAATTTGTTTTAAGGCATTTTTGCGGTCATCCAAAGTACTGTTCTTATTGCAGAATGTTTTCTCAAGTAGTGCTATTCTGTTGTCTAGATCTGTACTGTCATCTTTGGTCAAGATTTCAGGGTAGGCCATCAGGTCTCGGTTGAATTTTGATAAAAATACATTTTTCATAAATGGTTCTATTTTTGCGTGTCGTTTTTCTGGCCGTTCGAATACTTTCAGGTCTTCGAAGTCGAATTTTTCCTCTTGAACCTTAGGTTGGGTTGCTTCGACAGAATCATTTGTAATCGAAGAAACACTGAATTTTCTATAGAATGTTCTCCGAACATTTTGGTACGGTAATTTTGTTAGCTGTCGCGCAATATTCATATTGTTAAGATTTAAAGAATATCTTACATCCAAGTTTAATATTCTAACAGGTCTGATTTGTAATAACAATTTTATCATGTATTTTTTAAAGATCAGCGGTATATTTATTACAACCTCAATTGTTTCAAATGTTTTTCTATAGATTCAATGAGCAGACATTTAGACAATTGACATAAAGTATTAAAATGTCATTACATAATCGATTATTTGTTCGAAGGGAATTTAATGTACGATCATAATTATTAATCGATTATGAGGATTGTAAAAAAATACAATCAAAGACGAGTTTTTAATGTAAATTACCTTTACAATTTTTTTCTACTACAAAGGAGAGTTTAGTTATTATCATAATGTTACGTATATTTTATGTGCAAATTAAATGATTATGCTTTATATATTAAAGACCTAAATCGGTTATCAAGTAGACAATGGAACAACAATGGAATCGTAAATTATTAACATTACATTAGGGTACATCCCTATTCACTTTCCTCCACCATCTTTTGTGGGGTGGAAACAGCCACCCACCGCTGATGATAGCAATATTAACTCACCACAAGTTATTATAAGGACCATTTTTGTTTGTTTTAACAAATTTATGTTATTTTACATAATCGTAGCTATGTATCGCTATGAAATAATCAGTAGGTCCCGTTTCCGTATGCGATACGCCTGTGAGGTTTCCGCGAAGAATTTAAGCTGAAAATCAGTTTTTATTAATAGATTTAACCAATAGCTGTTGGTTTCAGCATGAAATCGTCAATATAGACGTTCTCTAATAAATGTCCGCGATATTTCACGTGAAAAATGATTTCGTTCGTACATTATTATGAACGGTGTAAGAATGTTTAAGTGTCTGTGACGTGAAAAAAGAATTACTGATAGCGCATTTGGTATTAATATAGCTGCCTTTTTTCATGGTAAGTCTTTGTGATATATGCCTCCGTATTATATTGGTATACACGAAAAAGACGAACGGATATTGATGTTTAATTAGTATTATAATTGGATTTGTATTTTGTAATTGGCGCATCCTTAGGTTAACATCATTGTGGAAACGAATGACATAGTTAAGCCAAAAATCTCTCTATACTAGATGTATATATAACAAGCAATAATAACTTAGGTAGAGAGAAATTTAGTTATTACGCTACTAATTCGTTATATATATTTGTTTATCTATAGTACATTTATCTATAATAAATCTAATTTAAATAGTTTAATAGAGAGACGTCTATACAATATTGTGTTTACGCTAGAAGTACACACTAAGTACCTAAAACACTTTTAACGGTTTAAAACGCAACGGCAGCTTTAGGACGTAAATAAAACTTGTTTAAATTAAATAAAATTTCGTATTTTAAACAGTTAGAATTGTTTGAAAACTTTGTACATGAAAATGTTGTACATGAAGGCACTATATAATTTAAAAATCGAAAATTGAAAAAAAAATTCGACTCCGAGTCGAAATTTTTCCAATTTATTTTCGATTTATAAATCAGTTAGAAGTGTTTTATTTAATAAAAATTGTTTTTTTTCGTTAATATTTGATACTTGAACCCACGTGTATTTTGACAGGTATAGTTTTAAGTCTATATTGGCCAAATAAACAATAATTTTTGTGGGAAATGTTTTCACATATGTCAATAGTTTGAAGACGACGACGACGTGTGGGACACGGCGGGTCATTTGATCAGAGCAACACAAAATGCTGCTGATGCCGATTCGAGGCCCGGCCGTGTTGTTATTTTTTTTCGATCTAAATAGATTTTAAATGTGGTTAAATTTTATTCATATATCTGGAAACATTAGATTAAATAATATGTATATAGAATTTAAATAACGGAAAGGAAAAATTATTATTAGTTGAAAATAAATTTACATGTCTGGCCGCTTTGAGAGGTGGTAACGGTGCTGCAAAGCATCGGGTCTCGCGTTTTCATAATCATCGCGTCTTACCGTTAAAGGTTTTATTTAAATGTGTACGATCCCGTAAACATCGACAGATTATTTGTCGAATAAATTTAAGTAAAAGTTTTTTCGGTAAATAATGACAGCTGGTTGGTGTAAGGATAAGTATTGTCTTGAAATCTGGGTCGCGGGTTCGATCTCAACATATGAGATAATTTATAATATCGGTGTCAGTTTTCGATATGAAATGGGTAGTAGAAATATCGTTTCGGTTTCAGCTAATGGATTTCCATTTATTGAGAACCAAAATATAGAGCGCATCAAATTTGAATGTTATATTTCATTATCAAGTGAACTTCGTGCAAATCTACCCTCCTCTATCATAAAAATGTTTAAAAGCGAAATATCCTTAGCTAATAATTTCATTTATTTTCACTACGAGCTGATTTTATACAACGACACGTAATTTAAAAAATTTAAAAATAGAAAATAAATTGAAAAAATTTTCGACTCGGGCAGGACTTGAAACGGCATCGTCAGCTTTCCGTGCTGTTGAAAGAAAAAATTCGACGACGAGGTGTAGGACACGGTAGCTCAATTGGTAGAGCAACAGCACGGAAAGCTGACGATGCCGGTTCAAGTCCTGCCCGAGTCGAAATTTTTTTAAATTTATTTTCGATTTTTAAATTATATAGTGCCTTCATGTGCAATGACATGTGAAAACATATTAATGTTTTCAAACGACACGTGACTTCATTTTTTATATCGATCTATTTAAAGTAAATTTATGAACAGACTGCAATTCTCTGTCCGATTGGAACTCGCGATTCTCGATTCAGCCGTTCGGTGTCCACTGCTGGACATGGGCCTCCCCGATAGACTTCCAGTAGGACCGGTCGTTCGCTAGTTGAATCCAGCGCTTCCCTGCTACTGTGACCAGGTCGTCGGTCCACCTGGTAGGAGGTCGTCCAGGGTTTCGACGTCCTGTACGTGGTCTCCACTCCAGAGCCTTTTTGCCTCAACGACAGTCAGTTCTACGAGCGATGTGCCCAACCCACTGCCACTTCAGCTTGCCAATTCGATGGGCTATGTCAGTGACTTCAGTTCTCTTACGGATCTCCTCAATCATCTGTCCGATTGGAACTATTTTGCCGGAAATCAAACCTGGGATGTGTTTAACACAACTCTACCATTCAGCCAGAGTGGCGGTGGAACCGGAGGACACTTAACTCCATGCCAACTTGCAAAACGTCAAGCATCGGTTCATGTTTATCTAGAATCTCGTTGAGAGCCCTGATGTCGAGTATCATTGTATTTTCCACGAGTAGAAACGAATTGAAAAAGTCTTATTGAGGCTTTTAAAGAAGAATGTTATATGTCACACAATTTAACCTTAGGCTGAAAAGATCTAAAAAATGTCCACGACACTATATGTCTATCTTTTATGATTAACTCGCAAGAACGACGTGGACAATGTCGTGGGTAACAGCTATTATTTATAAAGCTGAGGAGATTGTTTGCAAAAATAATATGATGAAACTATCTGAAAGCGAGTGGTACACGTTTAAATAAAACACTTAACGGTTTAAAACGCGATATATACATATAGGGTGGACACCTCCCCGTGTCTGCGGCGAAGCATCCTAAATGTCGAAAATAATTCTCAAATAAGTTTAACTAATATATATCGCGTTTTAAACCGTTAAAATGCTTTATTTAAATAATATGTTGCCCAAACTAACGACGCAGACGAAGTCGCGGGCGCAGCGGTTACTTTCTATAAAGATTCCTTTAGGGAATATTGTTTAATTAAGTGCTTAGAGAGAAGTCTGATTGTGAGTACAAATAAATAAAATAAAATCTCGTCTTGGGTCGTATCCAATTATTGCGGAAGGAAGGAAATGGCTAACTTTGACTCATTTTAAGAGTATTATTGTAATTTCTATTTATGGGACTAAAGCAGTCGTATTTTTTGAGTTATTTTAACATATTGTGTAACGGGTGTCTATAAACTTAGTAACTACTAGTTCGAATTGAAGAATTATGCGAATTTGTTGCTTGTTTGCATTTGTTGCGTGCGCTGCGAAAACGGTATATATAACCGTCTAATACCCAAGAATGTGTACAAAATATCTTTAAAAAAAAACGACGACAATACAGCCGACGGCAGCAAAGCATCCGAAACGTCGGGCCGATGTTGAAAATCATTTTCAAATAAGTTTAACAGATATATCGCGTTTTAAACCGTTAAAGTGTTTTATTTAAATGTGTACTAATCGCGTATTTACCTAACATATTACAAAAATCGTGAGGAACTTTTAAAACGGTATGTACGACGTATAGGTTTCGAGTAGATCTGATGATTCGTGTCTTTGAGCTTAACCCTCTATATACTAATACTAGCTGAGTCAGCGACTTCGTTCGCGAGAATCGTTATTTTGGGCACCCAAATTCGTTTTTGTAAACCCCTTCATCTTTATAAACGCTGTTACCTGGCTACTGCCGACGGGATGGGACGCGACCGACGCCGTATAAAATAACTAGGTATTCTACGCGGACGACGCGACGCCGCGAGCATACCAACTAGAACATAATATAGGGGCGAAGGAAGCTCCTTCTCTTGTACAGTCGGTTAAAAAGGACGCACGCCTGTGATTGAAATGCTAGGAAATTTAATAAAAACTCTTGCGACATTCTGCGAAGAGTTGAAGTTGTCTTGTGAATTTAATTTTACATTCGATTTGAATAGCACCATTTCGCGCTATTGAATAATTCAAGACGGATTCGCAATTAATTAAGAACACAGGCTCGAATATCCAAAGACAATATAGATCGACAGCACATCTTGATTATAGTGTTTTTTTTTTACTTGGCCTTTTAAACAAACAGTCAATTTAAATGAAAACGTGATTTTCTAATAAGTACATTGATTTACACTAAAAACACTTGGAGATACTGGATAATTTAAAAATCGAAAATAAATTGAAATAATTTTCGACTCGGGCAGGTTTAAACCGGCATCGTCAGCTTTCCGTGCTGTTCCTCTACCAATTGAGTCCGGTTTTCAACTTATTGATACATGCACCTCTCGCGCAATGTAATTTCAATCTTAACACTTGCGTATTAAGGTTCAATGTCTTATGCTTTGAAGCTTAAGAAATCATTAAAGATGAAATTACAAAGTTATAACGTTTGAGAACTTTATTAATTTTTACATGTTAGTGCACAAGAAGGCACTGTATAATTTATTTTCGATTTTTAAATTATATAGTGCCTTCATTATTTAAATAAAGATTTTATATAAGTGCAATAACATGTAAAAATGTATAAATTTTTCAAACGATACTGGATAACTTAACGTAAAATCAACGACAATGGGAGGCAGAAGTCCCACTCATGCACTATCCCTAAAAATCGTTACAAACGTCGACATAAATAATAATTATATAATGATATTTCTTTAACCAACCAAAACCGGCGAAGAGGACACTATGGAGAAGGCCCGTGAGGGTTTCTACTATGCTAAAAATTTCATATGAAACAATATTTGTACGTAAATTAAAAGATGTAAACAGTAATTTAAAGAAAATAAAAGACGACACTCAATAAAAGGGCACCACTAAGTTGAAATCGGTCATATTTGTTATGGTCTATTGACAAGTCAGAAAAAATACAAAATAAATATTATATTCCCGATTTTTACTCACATTTTCCCCCTTTTCTTCGCTGGCTTTGGTGGCCTAGTGTTTTATAGCTTTCCGCGATAAATTATTCAACACAAAAATAATTTTCCAATTCGAGCACTACTTTCTGAGATAAGCGCGTTCAAACAAACAAACTCGTCAGCTTTATAGTGTTAGTAGTATAAAATAAAAAATAAAATGTATATGTATAATGTTAGTGGTATATACAATTTCTGTAAAATTCTAAGCACTAAGATAACCGAAACGCGAATATACACTTCACGGCTTGTTCATCTGTGAACGGTGTGGAGCGTAACGGAATTTTCTTTATTGTCACCATACATTTCAACCAAACCCCCCCCCCCCCAATGACCCCGTCATCTAAAACCAATATACGACTCTCTTAATATGCTTTAAAAATTAATAACTATAATTCAGGGCCGGATTCAGAGGAGTGGAGAACTTAAATAACGAGGAAGTAGATGCCCCTAAATATTTCTCTAGTAAAGTAAACACATCTTTTTTGTCATGTATCTATATATACTAATATATAAAGCTGAAGAGTTTGTTTGTTTGAACGCGCTAATCTCAGGGTTCGAATTGTTTTTTTTTTGTTTGTTAAAGCATTTATCGAGGAGGGCTATAGGCTATGAAACATCGAACTGTGGCTAATAGAAGCGAAGTTACGGCGGGAAATTTGAACAAGACGGGGGAAATTTTTCATTTTTGTGGGTTTCAGATGCGTACGCTGCAAAAACGGTTCAAGATGCCCAAAAAATATGTATGATAAAATGATTCCTCTTTAAATGATCTGAAAAAAAGGTCCGCGACATTATATCTTTTAAGAATAACTTGTAGGAACGATGGGGTCTGAACGACGGGTCGCGAACAACGGCTCGCGACCGACGGGACGCGACCGACGACCTGGGTAACAGCTTAAATCAATAAAGATGTAGAGGTTTTTGCACAAAAACTAATTTGGATGCACAAATTAACTATTCTACGCGGACGAAGTCGCTGACACAGCTAGTAAACAAAGTAGTCAAAGTCAAGTCAAAGTCAAAAATCATTTATTCATGTAGGTAACTATGTACACTTATGAACGTCACAAAATAATTATAGAATCTAACTTTACATTTACTACCAGTTCTCAAATCAAGGGCGTAGAACGTACGAGAAGAACTGGCAATAAACTCGCCGTCACTCGTTTAGTAGTAGTAGTTAAACAAAAATATACATAACCAACATAGCCAGAAAATATTATATTAATAAAAACTTTAATGGTTTGACATTTTATTGCACATGATGGCATTACGTAAATTGCAAAACTATTTAAAGTAAACGGTTTCAAACGCGATATATATTAGTTAAAGTTATTTTAAAATAATTCGCGTTTTAAACCGTTAAAGTCTTTTATTTAAATATGTACTACTCGGTTTAACTACAGATACTATTTAAAACGAATAAATTTGACGACACGTGAGGAACTTAAAGCGGCATCCCACTAGGTAGGCAATTGCTTACAGCAGCAGCACAGAACGCTCGTCGAAAAGAAAGTCGTGAAAAATCTGTCTAAATAGATTTTTAGTTTATATGAATACAATTAAAAATTGTAAAATTTAATTTTGGCGTAAATGTTTTCGGAATTTGAAAAAAAGGGGAACTCTGCCCTATTTGCCCTCCCGTAAGTCCGGCCCTGTCGTTATTATTCTAATATGCAGCTTGAAGTACGGCGGTACCGTGCGCTACAATGCCTGGTACAGCCCAAAGAATAATAAAACAGCTTGTATCAAACACGACCCAATTCCGCGTTCGCGCTGTAATATTTTTTAATTTTCCCCTTTTTAATGTGGCGAGGCTTGATGTGTTCGGTATTACAGTGGAAATATATCATTTTATACGCGTATAATTTAAGTGGTGGCTACATAATTTGGCTCCTTAACTTAAAAGTTACATATTGCGTTAGTAAGTCCCAGGTTCAACTTCCGAGGAAAGAACGTATTGTTTCGATCGTTTTCGTGTCTGTAAAAAAATTGGTTAACAAGTGTAACATGTAATGTGTTTAAAAAGTGAAAAAAAAAACACTTTAACGGTTTAAAACGCGATATATTAGTTAAACTTATTTGAAAATGATTTTTAACTTCGACCCGACGTTTCGGATGCTTTGCAGCAGCCGTGGTCACGGGGAGACCGTTAAACCGTTAAAGTGTTTTATTTAAATGTGTACTACTCGCGTAAACTATAGACAATATTTAAAGTTAAAAAAAAAGTTTTTTATTATACTTATTATTTTTACCCGATAATTCGTGTCTGTCATTAAATTTAATTTATTCATATAAATGAATACCTGCTAAAAATATCGACGTTGTTCTCAGGAGCACAGACAAATCATTATTTAGACTGGTGGCATAACGCGTTACGTAACTAAATGTTTAACCCCCATATAAGAAATAGTTACTAAAATACACTTCAAGTATTGTCTGTAATTTTCACGAATAGTACACAAATAAATAAAACACTGGTTTCTTAAATATAGTCAAATACAACGAAACAGATGGCGCTAACAAATAAGATTTGACTTCAAGACTTTGTGACGCCGTCCATCTTTAGTGACCACTGCTGCAAAGCAAAGAACGTTGGGCCGTAGTTAAAATAAATCGTCAACTAATATTTTTCGCGTTTTAAACTGTTAAAAGTGTTATATTTAAACAACTTGTTTTACTTATGTAATAGTCTATTGTATTGTGTAAAGCGATATACATAATAGCTTTAATCTCTCTGGTTTTTTTTAAATCGATTATTAAATAGAAACAGAAATAAATCTGCCCCATGCCCGAAACAAACGGCATTTTTTTTTAAATTCCAGGTCGTGGCCAAAACCCTTGATCCTGGGATGAGGAGACATCATGTGGAGCAGTTTGGGTTCGTTTCTGGTCATAGTCAATGTGGTCGCTGGTCTTTCGCCTGTCATTAAAATTGGTGAGCTATCTGTGGTTATGGTTTTTAGTAAGAGTTTGTTGCAAAACAGCACTGCCTGGAAGAGATCTTTAAAGGCGATTGCCCATTTCAGGCCATACACGGACAATGGATGTCAGAAGAGGCTCAAGAGTTCAAAATAATTTAAAAAGTGTAATTTGTAACTTGTAATTTTTGTAAACAAACACACAATTTCTAGTAAATTATCTTCATTTAAAGAGATTTTCTCACAATGTTTAAATTACATTTTCTTTGGGTCCTTGAACCGTTTTCGCAGCACACGCAACGGAAGCTCTCAAAGATGTTTGACTGTTTCTTCGTTCCCCTTCATGCATTCCTAAATAAGTGGTCTAATCATCACAAAAATGATTTCTCAATTCGAACCCATAGTTCGCGTTCTAACAAACTCTTCGGCTATATAGTATAAGTGTAGAAGAGTTGCCTGGACGAGATCGCTCTATTGTTCTAAGGCCGCCCATTGCACTGCATAACTTGTATTTTTTTGCTTTAATAGTTGTTTTATTTAGATTGTTTTAAGATAAGGATTTATATATTTTGCGTCCAAAAATAATTCAGTAAATAAGACACTAAGCGGGGAAGTGAATATATTGAAATTCTGTCGCGAGTAGTTAACATTTAAATAAAACACTTTAACGGTTTAAAACGCGATATATTAGTTAAACTTATTTTAAAATGATTTGCTGCTGCAAAACATCTGAAACATCGGGCCTAAGTTAAAAATCATTTTCAAATAAGTTTAACTAGTATATATCGCGTTTGAAAACATTCATATTTTTCACATGTTATTGCACATGAAGGCAGTATATAATTTAAAAATCGAAAATAAATTGAAAAAAATTTCGCAGCAACAGCACGGAAAGCTGACGATGGCGGTACATGTCCTGCCTGAGTCGAAAATTTGTTCAATTTATTTTCGATTTTTAAATTAGTATATACCTATCGCGTTTTAAACCGTTAAAGTGTTTTATTTAAATTCTGCCAACTATTAACGAAGTGTAAATTCTCGCTACGGTTTTAGTCTGTTCATTTTCCAATGTCCGAATCCGATAGGTCCATTGTGCATATTAATTAGATTTGATAATTGAATATTGTAACCTACTGTCTGTAGTTTACGCGAGTAGTACAAATTTAAATAAAACACTCCAACAATTTAAAACGCGATATATATTGCTAAACCCCCCGTGACCACGGCTGCTGCAAAGCATCCAAAACGCCGTAGTAACAATAATGGTAAAATTAGTTTAACATATATTTATTTTTTGTTTTAAACCCAAAAAAATATTTTAAAATTTGAAATGTCACTGAATAAAATGAAAGTAGTGTTTTATAAATTTAAATTCTTCAAAAAAGCAGGTTGAAATTGATAATAATGTTATAAAACTGTTTCTTTGTTGAAATTCTCTAACCTTAAGAACTACTGTTTCGAATATAATAATCATTTCTGTGCTGAATACACCATTCACCTAAGAAGCCTTTAGTTTAACACCTACTAAAATACTCGTTAAACATTAGGCAGCGACCAATAGGAGTGAAGACACAGAGGAAAATGTGGAAAAAAACGGGAAAAAATATTCTCTTATATCTATCTGGGCTCCGTTACGTATGCTACGAAAATGATTCGTAAACCAAAAGAACTATGTTTAAAATAATCCATTGTCTTTAAATGATCTAAAATAATGTCACAGTATATGTCTATCTTTTAGGATTAAAGACTGGACGCTACTGACGTCCTAGTCAACAGTTATATACAGTAGAACCTCGTTAAGTCGAAACTCGATGAGTCGAAAACCTCCACATCTCGAAAAAAATTTGTGTTCCCTTCCATTCAAACACTAAAACCTCCGTTATTCGAAATCTCAACCCTCTATTAGTCGAAATAATCAGTGAGGACCAAGCCAATTCGGTACATATATTCCCTCCATAACTCGAAATTTTTTTTTACCTCTGTATCTCGAAAATAGCAACGTCTTATTTTACAACCTTTACAACTCTATTATTTTAGACTCATTTTATTACATCTATATTTCGAATACCAATAAGTTACTGACTTTATGAATTTGCAATGAATGAATAGAATTAATGACTCACATTCACGCGTTTGCTTGCTTGATCTCAGGTGTTTCATTTTATTCGTTTTGAATTACGAAAACTATAATCTTATTTTATTCTGAAATTAAGGACCATAACAAAAATGTCTACACCATTTGTTTAAAAATCGCGCGTTTGAAGAAAAAATAAATACACAAATACACGAGATATCTTACTACCCCCCCTTATACCCCCCCTCCCCCATTGTGTTATTTTCGTAATTTTTATCAAACCCCTCCCCCCCTTTCAAGCCTCACGTGATTAATGTACAACCCCTTACAAATATTGTTGTAAACATGAGCGCTGTGAAACGTATTTTACCTATCTTACTCAAAATTTAAAAAAATCAATATCAACCTCTTTATGTCGAATCAAAATCCTAGCCTAAGTCGAAATTCTCTCTAAGTCGAAAACTCTATAACTCGAATATTTTGGCGTCTCCCTTGATTATAAAGATAAAAACATATTTGGTGCCCGAATTAACTATGCCATGTAGGCAAAGTCGCGGCCACAGCTAATATGTAACAGCGTTTCGTGCTGTCGCTCTAACCAATTGGGCTACCGAATCCTACACCTCATCGTCGAATTTTTTGAACTGAAATAATAATTGTTTGTTTAAGGATATTAACGTTGTGTAACGAAAAATTCGTTAATAATTAACGAAATATTGCGTACGGATCCCTAGAAAAGCTCCATATGCTTTAAAAATGTATAAACTTGCGCTTATATAAATCATTTCAATTCTCAGGGGCAATTTTCACTGAAGAAGCGCGCGGGGGCAGTGCGGAACTGGCTTTTAAATACGCCATCTATCGGATCAACAAGGAGAGAAGCATTCTTCCCGAGTCTACATTAGTTTATGATATACAGTATATAACACCGAGGGACACGTTTAGGGCTTACAAAAAAGGTACTTTTTTGTATAAATATTTCTTTTGTATTGTTTTGTTTTAAATACCACCCTGGATGAAAACATTATTTAAAAAGTCAATGTAATATCGTAAAAAAATACTTTTAAGGTTAGAAACAATAAATAAGTTTAATTAATAATCTTAACTCGCTTTTTCGTTAAGTTTATAAATTGAGTTATGTAAAAGGAAAACGAGTTTATGGGAGTGTAAATTAAAGAAGTTAACACAATACGTACCAAAACAAAGGCAATAACAACTGTCAGCCATGCGTTAGTGATCAAATGTCAATCGATAGCGCGTCGATGACAAATCGTTCCGTTACACGCAAACGATCGGAATACTTTTATTTTAAAAATCTAAAATAAATTGAAAAAAATTACGACTCGGGCAGGACTTGAACTGCCTCTACCTCGTCAGCGTTCCATGCTGTTCTACACCTCATCATCCATTTTTTTCAACTTATAGATACATGCATCTCTCACGCACGTTTACTTGTTTTTTACATATAAAAAGCAAAAAATAAATACAAATAATCATTGTTACTTAGAGGATATTAACGTTATCTAAAGATAAATTCGATAGGCGAAGTCTAACGACACGTTCTAAATTAAAAGTAAAAAAAAAAACATATTAAATACATTTCTTTTTTCCTGTCTTTATTAAAGTTACTATAAATATTTTATAGAGTAAAAAATAACGGATTTATTGATATGGAACAAAAAATTATGTGGACTTCGTCTGGATTCTGGATATTAAAGGGATGGTACAGAATATTGATAACTCCACCCGGGTCAGGAACTACTGCTAAAAATTGAAAAGTCGTAGCGCATCTTAAATCAATCATAAGATCACTGTCTGAATGAAACAATATATTTCTTCCACGGATTCGAACCCAGGATGTCTCGCACTTATCACAATGCTAGGCAACACTAAATAATGTTATAATAATACATAAATTATGCATACTGTCTGTAGTTCTTCTATGTTCGACATGGATGTTTCTTGTTGATTCTCCTCTAAAACAAATAAATAACACGATAAATATCAAATTTTAATGTTGAATTGTAAGTACTCTTTGCTTCATTAACACGAAATGAAAACATCATACAGAGCTCTTGTAAGCCACTTCTTTAAAGAGATTTTTAAGTACCCTCATGCATTTCTATAGGTTACGAAAATGCCTACATTTAGATTGCGTTAAAAGCAAGGGCTTTTAGCTGTTAAATGTTTCAACTTATTTACGTTCCACTCTTGTGCTGCCCTCTATCATAGGACAGAAAGTTTACGAATATACTAATGTTTTAGTGCGGGTAGGCGGGCTTATACAACTACCGCCACTATACTAGTGACGATAAATGGGACCAAAAAGCTTAATGATATTATTCTATCATAATATGACAGAAAGTTTACGAATACAAACCATTTTTTAGTGCGTGTAGGCGGGCTTTTACAACTACTGCCATTACATTAGTAAAAATAAAATAAAAGTTAAACTTTCCAGAAACGAATGTGTCATGTCTCCTCTTACTCTCATATCTTATCTGGGCTGGTACAACAGTTTTTCCAAAGATTCTATATCGAATTACTATTTTGTTTGATCTGTATTTAAATAAAAATCTTTAATGACCGAAAACACGAAAAATTTTAGTAATTTATGAAGAAACGTCGAGCCGTAGTTAAATAAATCTATACTAATATAAAGCTGAAGAGTTTGTTTGTATGTTTGAACTCGCTTATCTCAGGAACTACTACTTCCAATTGACAAGTTCTTTTTTTTGGTTAGAGAAATTATCGCCGAAGGTTTATAGCCTATAGCGCGATGCTTTATAGCCTATAGCCTTTCTCGATAAATGTTCTAACCAACACAAAATTTTTCAATTCGAACCCGTAGTTCCTAAGATTAGCGCGTTCAAATAAACAAGCTCTTCAGCTTTATATATTAGTATAGAATATAGATAAATTCATGCTTTATTTAAACAAATTTTGACGCACTGAAACGCAACTCTTTGTCTTATCAACTATTTTATTACCTACTACGACACTACGAGCCCTTGTTAATCGCGTTCGTTTAAATACTTTTATTTTACCATTCGCCAACTATTTTTTTTTTCAAAGTTGGCCTTCGTATTTTTCAGCGTGTATCCAAATAAAGTCTGGCGCCGTCGCGATTTTTAGCAGCGCGGGCCCACTGCTGGGATCGACACTCACTGCCATGTGCCAGTCACTCCACGCACCGCATTTTACGATAGACTCTAGTTATATGGAACGTAAGTACAAAAAGATATATGAATTTGCGTTCTGATCTATGAATTTTCAAATGTCTAAAGGACAAAATGTGTTATCGATCTTCAGTCCCCCAGTGACCACGGGTACTGCAAAACGTCCGAAATGTTGAGCCGTACATGAAATAAATTTAACTAATAACATTTAGCGTTTTAAACTGTTATTCGTGTTTTATTTAAATGTGTATCTCTCGAGCAATGTAATTTCAACCTTAACACTTACGAGTTAAGGTTTCATGTCTATTGCTTTGCAGCTTAAGAAATCACCTAGTTCTGCTGTCACGCATACCTCTTTCATAACTGAGTTTCCTTTTCTTACTTGCTTGGAAGAGATAGCTATTTCGCTATTAGAGATGCGCCGATGTGACACTTTTGCCGAGTAACGAGTACCGAGTTTTACTCGCTTCATTTTTTTTCAACCGAGCACTGAATTTCAGAACAACGACAACAGACAACCGAGTTCAAAATTTCAGAACTCGGTTTATTAAAATTCTCATACTACTACCACACTACTCATTCATTAACATAGTTTTGATTTAATTAATTGCGATTCTCGAAGGTTTCCTAAACTACTAATAAATACTTTTGGATCAACACTATTGTGTAATGTATTTTATTAATGTAAATTATATTTACCTAAATATAGCTTTTCTTAAACAACGTATACTTGTTATCGAATAACCGAGTTATTGGGCCGAGTACGAGTATCAAAAAACCCGCCGAGCACGCAGAGTACCGAGTATCGACCGAGTACTCGGCCCATCTCTATTAGCTATAGCCCCCCGTCTATCCTTTATTTCCATCAATTTTTATTTCTTATTATGTTTTGTGGGGGAATATTTGTATGTTTCGATATTTTTCAGCGTTGAACAGCACAATATCTTTTACATTAAACTTATATCCGTCACGGGAGCTTCTCGACGCGGCTTTTACGGACCTCACCGCGTACTTGAACTGGACAAGGATGGGCATCATTTATGAAGACTACGGATATGGTGAGTTTTAATTTATTAATTAATGTACTAAATTTATGCCAAATAAAGACTTGATTAAATATTATATCCTATTACATAAATGGAAATCGTACAAAACGGCTGAACCGATTTCAATAAAATTGATTGTATATGATTAGCAGATAATTATGAATTAATTTGTTACAGGTGAATTGAATATATTAAGAATGGCGAGAGACGGTCGCGATATGTACGCGGTGCGTTGTTCTGCGCACGACTACAGACGTGCGCTTGCGCAGCTGAAGGCGCAAGGGATTGCGCGCATCATCGTCGATACGGATCCTAAACACTTGAGGCAATTGGCTAGGGCTGTAAGTCATGACTTTAACTCACTAGCTGTGCCCGCGACCTCATGCCCGAATAGCTATTTCGGAATTAAAATTTGTGTTTGCAAACCTCCTTCTCAGCGTCCTTCTATGACGAAGCTCCCGTCCTTCTTGCGAGTTAATCATACAAGATAGACAATATAAAATCACGGAAGCCCTTAAAGAGGAATAATTTTCCCAGTTTAACATTTTCCCTACCAATGACTAGGACCTGGGACCAATAACAATTTACAGTTTCCCAGTTCGTTTGTAATTATGTGAAAACAAAAGAACAAAAGTTAAATATCATTTTGGCGCCAAACACTTGATGCGTAAATACTGTCTATAGTTTAAGCGAGTAGTCCACATTTAAATTAAACACTTTAACGGTTTAAAACACGATATATTCGTTAAACTTATTTGAACATGATTTTAACTTCGGCACGTCGTTTCGGATGCTTAACTTGTCGTTTAACTGATATATCGCGTTTTGAACCGTTGAAGTGTTTTATTTGAACTTGTTGCGTAATTTGAAAACGGAATTAAAATGTAACATTTTCAATTTCAGATTCTCCAGTTACAAATGAACAACGAGAACTATCATTACATTTTTACATCTTTTGTAAGTATTATTAATTTACTAAATTACTTAAAGGTTTTGATCTATAAAGGATTTCTTGTCTCCCTTAACTTAAATTGTTAAATTAAACCCTTTTTTATCGGTTTAAAACTTTTTCTGTAACACTCCTACAAAATGTTTAATCCGTGATAATGGCTGCTGTATGGTATCCGAAACGTCAAGACGTAATTAAATAAAATTCAAAATAAGTCCTAATACTGTCTATATTTTACGCGAGTAGTACACATTTAAAGTCTCCCCGTGGCCACGGCTGGCGAAAAGCACCTGAAACGTCAGGCCGAAGTTAAAAATCATTTTCATATAAGTTTAACTAATATATCGCGTTTTAAACCGTTAAAGTGTTTTATGTACAGACTTCATATAGTTCCTAAATAGTACGCAAAACAATATATACATTAACCTATTTAATTTAATAATTAACGAATATTTCGAGTTTTAAACGGTTAAAAGTGTTTTATTTGTAATTTCAGGATATGGAGCTTTTCGATTTAGAAGACTTTTACTACAATCGCGTGAATATGAGTGGTTGGAGACTTGTGAACCGTGACTCGGACAAAGTGAAGGACGCCCTGCTGGTGATGGAGAAGTTCCATCCAATAGGAGCGTCTATACTATCGGGGGGACATATCAAGGTGATTTTTAACATCTTTCGGAATTCAATACTGAAAATTATTATCGACGAGCCGCCGTCTCCCCATGACCACGGCTACAGCAAAGCATCGGGCCGTTAAAATAATTTTCATACAAGTTTATCTAATATATATCGCGTTTTAATCCGTTATTGTTCTATTTTTAATGGTAGATGGGGACATAGAAGCTTGGGGTTCACCTGATGGCAGGTGTTATACGCCAGCCTATAGCATGTAACCAGATGCGCTGTCGACCCATTTAGAATATTCGGAAATCGCAATTAAGCTTCATGGCTTTTACATCTGTGGACGGTAGTTCCTTGCCCGGACGGAATTTCTATATTCCTACCACCGATTTAGAATCTAGATTTCCAGACGAAGTTCAGCATGTTTCAGAAAGATTAGAAATATGTTGGCTCTGGTGCGGCTCGAACCCGCGACTCGCTTACTCATTAGCCATACATTGCTAACATTAAACCAACGAGCGTGTCAAATTTATACATACACATATTACAAAGTGTTTATCAATATTAAAATAAAACACTTTAACGGTTTAATACGCGATATATTAATTAAACTTACTTGAAAATGATTTTTAACTCCGGCCCGACGTTTCTGATGCCTTGCAGCAGCCGTGGACACCCTGGTCTCCCCGTGACCATAGTGAAATATATCGCGTTTTAAACCGTTAAAGTGTTTTATTTAAATTAACTCGTACTAAGAAGTATTTAATTTCATATTAGTCACTGTTTATTAGACTGATCCGGCACTTCTTTACGACGCGGTGCAAGTTTTGGCCCTAGCGCTGGCATCTACGAAAGACGTGCATAAGGGGAACGTGTCGTGTGATACCGAAACGCCATTGGCCCATGGTACAACTCTACTACAGAATATACATAAGGTATGAAGTTAAACCCCGTAAAAATAGAAAGAAATACATTTATTTACTACCACAGGCCGCACAAAAAATAAGACTTCTAAAAAAAATTACACGTAATGTAATTTTAACAGTACGAAAAACGTATTGTGCGATTCTTGTTCCTAGAATAGGATCTTCCACAGTATATATCAGGTCCTTTGTTGTCTTAAAATTGATTTTCGGTGACTCCTTAGGTGTTGTAAAAAAACACCATAGTACTTTACAGAAAAAATCACTTAATTATTTTAAACTCGAAATACATTTGTAACAACTTATTTTTGATTCTAGTTCTTTTAGGAACCAGTTAGTTCTCCAAATATAAATTACGGAGCAATAGATTTTTGGCTAGAATTTCTAAATTAACGAAATGATTATGTTTGTAATATAAAATAACAAAGTTATTAGCATTTGATGGAGATGGAGGGTATCTCTAACGTTAAGGTCAAATCCCTACCTGTAAATTGTAGTTACCCTGTAAATTGTATTTGGTGAAACGACCGGGGCCTTACAGACCTAGAATTTAAAAATTTAACTAATATATTTCGCGTTTTATTCCGTCTATTTGAATAATTAGGTCTTAATAATTGGCACAATTGTCTTTGCAGGTTCAAGCGCACGGTCTGACCGGTCCTATTGAATTCACAAATGGTGTTAGAACCTCTTTCAACCTCCAACTCATGCGTCTAGTGGGTGGTGAGAATGGTGGTACCGTCATGTCTGGATTCTGGAACCCGAATGATGGTTTGGAGGTCACTGACCCCGCCGCATATAGGCGAGATCCTCCACCGAATGTAACGTTGACTGTTGTTACTGTAGAGGTATTATTTCTTTAAATATTTATTTAACATTGACAATGTTAACACAGGCTCGACTCGAAGCCACGACCACAATCTTTAAGGATTATTAGAAGCTATGCACAAATAAGTGGATTACGCGAGCAATACATATTTAAATAAAATAATATTAACAGTCTAAAACGCAAAAAAAATTCTCTCAAAGAACGAAAAGAAAAGAACAGGACAAAAATCAGACAAAGGAATATCTGCCCAAATGGGATATCTTACTGCTTTTTTTAGGAAAAGCCCTACGTGATGGTTAAAGATGGTTGGAACCTTCAAGGCAACGCGCGATTCGAAGGTTTCTGCATTGACCTTCTGGCTAGAGTTGCGGCGAAGGCTGGCTTCGACTATCGGTTGAGATTGGTGCCGGATAACATGTACGGGGCTTGGGACCCCGAGACGGGTCAATGGAATGGGATTGTTCGAGAACTTATTGATAGGGTAAGTAAATATATTTTTATTCTTATATTCTTCCCATGTTAAATTATACCGTTAGAATGAAAATTGTATAAAGATTTAGCGGTACTTTTGTTATGTCACTTGGATTTTTTGAGCTGTACGACCGTCGTTATTGGGGTTTCGAATATTTTTCGACCTTCACGAGGAGCCTTAGCTCGTGTTTCAGCGTTTAACTCGACTAAACGAAGACTTTTGTGGATAAATTTAAATACGAATGTTTTACTCATTTTTTAATTTAATTTCAAATAGTTATTAAACACAAAAATATGATATACGATAATACATACAATGGCTTGCAATTACCACGTATGTACACTTACATTTTCGTGAAAACTTGACTAGTCCATATTGAATACTGTCCATAGTTTACGCGAGTAGTACACATTTAAATAAAACACTTGAACGGTTTAAAACGCGATATATTAGTTAAACTTATTTGAAAATGATTTTCAACTTCAGCCCGCTTTAGCTTCAGCAACTTTAACTAATATATCGCGTTTTAAATCGTTAAGGTGTTTTTGTTAGTCCATATTGGTTCTACTATTTCATGTGATAGTTCAAACGTCAGTAATTTGTCATCTTTTGGTGTCATTTCGCTATTTCATTTTTAGATCATTTAAAGAGTTCTATGGTCTAATGGTAGCAGCGTATTGCTAAAAATCAACGGGTCATGAGTTCAAACCCCACCGGGTCCATGATGTTTCTAATTTTTCTGAAACATGTTGGATGTTGGAAATCTGGATATTAAATGGATGGTAAAATTCCATCCGGGTCAAAAATCACCGTCCACAGATGAAAAACTCAATTTCCGAATATCCAAAGCCTAAATAAGTCGACAGCGCATCGTCTTTAGATGCTATAGGCTGGGGTATATCACCTATTAAGTGTACCATATGCTTGTTTGTCCTCCTTCCTATCTATCATAAAAAAATATCATTGTTTTTTTTTTTTTTTGTTTTTACCCTTATACGCAGCGAATGCAACGCTCAAATGATTTTTCCACTATTCTTCGCTTCTATTGACTGCACCGTCATTTTATATAAAGTAAAACCTTTCTAGATAGTTGATCTATCGAACAGAATTATTTTCAATCGAACCAACATTTCCTGAGATTAGCACGTTTAAACAAACAAAATCTCCAGCTGTATAAAATCAATACAGATAAATGCTTTGTTTCAGAAAGCCGATATAGCGGTCGCGTCAATGACGATTAACTATGCGCGTGAGGTGGTCATTGATTTTACTAAACCCTTCATGAATTTGGGCATTGGGATATTGTTTAAGGTAAAACTACGTGTAGTACACATTTAAATAAAACACTTTAACGGTTTATAATGCGAAATATATTAGTTGGCTTATTTATTAATACTTTGCAAAAGTTAATGTCATTTGGGAAATGATTCATGTTGTAGTTAAAAATAAGTTGACTAATATATATCGCGTTTTAAACTGTTAAAAGTGCTATATTTATATACCCCTTGCACAATTTTAACATAAATAGGATTTGTTCCAGGTGCCATCGTCACAGCCAACTCGATTGTTCAGCTTTTTAAATCCACTGGCCATTGAAATATGGCTCTATGTGTTAGCGGCCTATATCCTCGTGTCGTTCACTCTGTTCGTGATGGCGCGTTTTTCGCCTTATGAATGGTGAGTAAATTCAACTTAGGCTGGAGTTTACGAGTATGTACAATAAAAAAACGCTTTAACGGTTTAAAACGCGATATATAAATGAGTTGAACTTATTTGAAAATTATTTTAACAACGGCCCGACCACGAAGCCCTTGCAGTAGTTGTGGTCCCGGGGGGTCCTCCATGAAAACAATTTTCAAATACGTTTATTAATATAAATATCGCGTTTTTAACCATTTCAGTTCTTATTTAAACAATTCGTATAGTATGAACGAAAAATGATACGAAATGGGAGACATTTAATCCAAGATTGACTGGGCTGGTGGTCTATACTCGACCAGACAGAGACAGATGTCGTTCTAGTGGCATTTGTATGTGTTTAGTACTTTTGTATGTGGTCAGCTGTTCGATGCCCGGTGAACCACAAATATTAATTTTTGCATATACTCTGTGCGATTTGTAGCAAAGTTAATGGAAATTTGTTTAACATTTAATGTTACGTAACTGTAATATTTACTTATAAATAAATGTAATTGTAGCATATCGACGTAAATACATTAAAAAATTATAATAATTAAATTAACATATAACGGAGACATAAATAAAAAACTAGAATTGAATTAACTTTCTAACATCAAACTTCTGAAAAAGTAGAAAGAAAGAAGAACAATTTAATTTTCTCAAAGCTTTTTACAATACACACATTTGAATGCCTTTGACAGCAATCTGCCAATTATAAGTACTACAGCAGCGAACGCTATCGGTCGCGGATTCAAAACCCGCTCATTAATTAAATACTGTCTATAGTTTACGCGAGTAGTACACATTGAAATAAAACACTTTAACGGTTTAAAACGCGATATATTAAAACTTATTTGGAAATATTCGTTTGCAGCAGCCGTGGTCACGGGGAGACATTCCGCTCATTAATTTTAAAATAATTCCCAAATGAGTTCAATATTGTGTTTACGTAGGAAAAGGGTTTTTTATTGCACTAATTCAAAAAAGGAAAAGAACTACAATCTCATTTGAATTTTACTAGAGATGGGCCGAGTACTCGGTTGATATTCGGTACTCGGCAGGTTTTTTGATACACGTACTCGGCCGAATAACTCGGTTATACTTTGTTAATTGATGACGAGTATACTTTGTTTAAGAAAGGCAATTTAGGTAGATATAATTAAAACAACAGTTCATGCAAAAGTATTTATTAGTAATTTAGGAAATCTTTGAAAATCTCAAAAAATATGCTAAAGAATGAGTAGTAAAGAGACAAAACTACGAGAAGAAGAGATGGAGCTGACGTCTTGACCGGCGCAAACTGTTTGCACTTGTTTACAGGCGCGAAGTGAGAATTTGATTGAACCTAGTTACTCGGTTGAAAAAAACCGAGTAAAACTCGGTACTCGTTACTCGGCGCATCTCTAAATTTTGCTTATTATTGAAATGAATATTTTAGGTCCAGCGGCACCCACGTGTGTGGCCACGAAACGAAATTGCTGACAAACCAGTTCAGCGTATGCAATTCCGTTTGGTTTATCACTGGCACGTTCCTAAGGCAGGGTTCTGGTTTGAATCCCAAGGTTAGTAATGCTTTTATCACTGGAATATTTAAATGAAACACATTTAACGGTTTAAATCGCGATATATATGAGTCAAACTTATTTGAAGATTATTCGATTATTCTGGTATAAATCGCGTTTTATACCGTTAAAAGTGTTTTATTTAAATGAGATTTTTTTTCCACAGGCAACATCTACCCGTATAGTTGGTGGTATCTGGTGGTTCTTCACGCTTATCATTCTATCGTCGTACACTGCGAATCTAGCTGCATTTCTCACTGTGGAAAGAACGGTTTTGCCCATTCAAAGTGCAGCAGATTTAGCTGCTCAGAACAGCGTTCAGTATGGGACACTGAATGGAGGGTCTACGATGACATTTTTCAGGGTAAGCTTTCACATATATATATAACAATAAATTTAAAACTCAGACTAGACTATATAACATCTAAAAACATGATTGAATCTTTTGAATTAATACTATTATCAGTTTTACATCATTCCAATTCTTATATTTACACGAATTACTATTCATTCTAAACTAGATGTGTAAGCGATTTTGTCCGCGTAGAATAGTTATTTTGGCCATCCAAATTTGTTTTTGTAAAAAGATAGATAGACATATTATAGTGTCGCGGACATTTTTTAGTTCATTTAAAGAGTATTATAATTAAGTAATATTTTTTGGGTATCTTGAACCGTTTTTGCAGTGTACGCCTCGGAAACCCATAACCATGAATAAGTTTCCCAAATTTTTCCCCTTTTCTCGCTGTATCTTCGTTCCTATTAGTCACAGGGCGATGTTTTATAGCCTATAGCTTTCCTCGATAAATGCTCTAACCAATTCGAACCAGTAGTTACTGAGATAAGCGTGTTTAAACAAACAAACTCTTCAGCTTTATACATTAGATGTAAATTAATTTAAAAATTACAATCATTCAGGACTCCAACATAGATATTTACAAGCGGATGTGGGTACACATGTCTTCAGCAAGTCCTCCGGCTCTAGTTTCCTCCTACGAGGAAGGTGTGAGGCGAGTTTTGGCGGGAAACTACGCGTTCCTAATGGAATCCACCATGTTGGACCACAGAGTGCAGAGAGACTGCAACTTGACACAGATTGGCGGTCTTTTGGATTCTAAGGTAGATAATACAAGGTTTTTTTTTGTGATAGGGGGTGAAATCCGCATTTAAACAAGATGCACTGTGGATCTATTTTGGTTTTGGATACTCGGAAATCAAAAGAACCCGAAACGCAAGTAAACTTGACAGCTTTTTTATGTGTGGGCAGTGAGTTTAAGTGCCGGACATTTGGATATTCCTACCAACTGTTAAATATACAGATTTCCAAACGAAGTCCAACGTTTATAAAAATTGATTAAACCTACGACTGACTGATTATTAGCCATGAATTACTATTACATTACATTACATTATACTTACCTACCTTAATAATGGGTACGCTGAGCAAACGATAAACGCTTTAACACTCCCTACCCCTCTTCCCCCCATATACCTCCCCTCCACACACATACACGTCCCCCCACACACCCACATATACTACTATAGTTTTACTCGTTACTCAAAAACAATGAAGTTTTAACTTCTTTTCCAGGGTTATGGAATAGCAACATGGAAGGGCAGCCCCTGGCGAGACAAGATATCCCTTGCTATCCTGGAGCTTCAAGAGAAGGGGGTGATCCAGATATTATATGATAAATGGTGGAAGAATACGGGGGACGTATGCAATAGAGACGGGAAGGACAGTAAAGCAAATCCGCTAGGTGTTCAGAATATTGGTAAGATCTTGGCCTTTAGTGAAGAATAGAACAATGTGATAGAAATACGTTTATTAAGAAACAACACACAAACGAAAACAAGATTTACAATGAAAACTTATTCTTCAAACATGAACAATATAGGGAGAAATGACTTGGAGGGTTTTCCAATGGTAGCTATGTATGGCTACTGATCAATGGGTTGTGGCTTCGATCCATATATCATTGTTTTTCTGGCTGCTCGGCCGTCCTGAGTGAGAAGAGGTTCTCGCGTGCTGATGATGCCGTACACACGTGATGACGTAACGTCATGAACCTCTTCTCGCTCACGATGTCCGAACAGCCCAAAAAAAAATCAATGATATGCTGAACGATGGCCGTGAAAGCCTTAAACAATTTATGTAGCTAATAAATTTATAATTTTTCTGAAACATGTTGGACTTCATCTGGAAATCTGGATATTAATATATCGAAATTCCGTCCAGGTCACGAACTACCGTCCACGGTGGAAAAAGCCGTACAGTTTAATCACGTTTTGGTTTCAGTCTGAGAATTCCGAATATAAAAAGCCAAAATAGGTCAAGGTAGGTAAAAATAAAAGAAAAGAAATTCGTTTCTTCAGCAACAACGCACAATCGAAACAACGACATTTACAAATAAAACTTATTCTATAAACATGACATAGGGGGGAAGTCAATATATTTATATATATCCTCTGAAGTCCTCTTCAGAGCCACTCTAGCTCAGTTGGGACTAATATCCCAACCGTGACACGTTTTTCGACGAACGATACTCAGTAATTTAAATAAAACACTTTAACGGTTTGAAACGCGATATATTCGTAAAAAATTAAAAAGTTTAATCAATATATAGTAGATAGATTTTAACTAATCGCGTTTTAAACCGTTAAAGTATTTTAATTAAAAGTGTATTACTGCTAAACTATAGAGTGTTTAGTACATATTTAAATAAAACACTTTAACGGTTTAAAAAGCGATATATTATTAAAACTTTGAAAAGTCTAACTAATATTTCGCGTTTTAAACCGCTAAAGTGTTTTATTTAAATGTGTAGTGCTCGCGTAAACTTACACAGACAGTATTTAAATTCAGCAATGTTGTACCCTATGTGCATTGGTTTAAATCGTCTTTTTTTCAGGAGGTGTCTTCGTCACGCTTCTGTGTGGTCTAGTGTTAGCGATAGTCGTAGCTATATTAGAGTTCTGCTGGAACACGAGGAAGACCGCGTCCCAAGGAAGACAGTCGCTTTGTAGTGAGATGGGGCAGGTTAGATCAGTTTATTGTTATAATCCATGTCTCTTTGCCGGGGAATAAAATATTATTATGTTTAATTATAAGAAAATAATTAAGGTTAAAATTCTTTGCGCTTTATTAAATTTGTATAAATTAAAAAAAAAATGTCTAAGAATTATATTGCGAGATAAAAAACAAACACGTGATAATTATAAATTAATTTTTAGGAGCTGCGTACAGCTATGCGAGGGGGGTCGTCGCGGACAGTTTTGAAACCTGGATGCTCCAGGTGTTCGCCAGCCACGCACGTGCCACCTGCACCTTCTAGATACGAGGTATGGAAAAAATAATAATTGTTCTCTTGTGTTCATGCCGATTGTAAAAGTAAATTGGTTATATAAATAAACCGTGGTCACGGGGGGGTCTCCCTGTGGTCACGGGGAGACCCCCCTTGACCACGGCCGCTGAAAAGCATCCGAAACGTCGGGCCGAAGTTAAAAATCATTTTCAAATAAGTTTAACTTAAGTTCTATATTTTGCATTTTATGCCTTAACAGTTAAAGTGACCTATTAAGGGTATAGTAACGTAAACTATAGACACATTAACTTCAAGCTGTGCCCGCGACTTTGTCCGCATTTAATAGCTACTTTGGGAATCAAAACAGTCTTCTTTATTTTTCACGATGTCCTCCGAGTTCCGTCGGTCTTGCAAATTAATCTTCAAGGATATAAAACATGTACCCACTGTTTTATTTTTGGATCATTTGTGAATTTGTATTTAAAACCAAAATGAACCAAACCAAAGTGAACGCCGTGCTTGGTAAAAGAAAAGCTATTGTAGCGCACGGAACCATCAAAGATGATTTATATATCGTGTTTAAATTTTTCAGGCTGACGCGTCCAGCACTGTGGAACTGAAGGAGCTCCGGTGGTCGTAGCGCGGGGCGCGGAGGGGGGCGTCCGCGCCCTCCTCCCCCCGCTGCACGCCCCTCACACTCCCTGCCGAGGTGTATACACACACCGAAGTATTGTAGTAAGTTTTTTAAATGATTAAACATGGAAAGAAGAAGGCCCCCCAAAAAAGGGCACCCCCCCCCCCCCCCCGGGGGGACAAAAATTCCAGACGAGTCCTACAATCGAACCCTATCGAGCTATCATTGGATCCAAAGAGCACGTCAAAGCTTTGCCTAAACAAAACCGGTCATTGAAACAGGCATAGTTATATGTCTGTTTGTCATTTTGTTTTACATCGATTTGAATTTAAAAAAAAAAAATACAGTATTACGCTATAAAGCTATTGGTCATAGGTTCATATCCCAGCTATGTCATCATTTTTAATCTTCTAAATAAAACATTTTAACGGTTTAAAAAAAAAAACCCCCTCCCCCCGACGTCGTGCCGAAATTAATATTTTCAAATAAGTTTGACATATATCGCGTTTTAAACCGTTAACGTGTGTTATTTAATTGTGTACCACTCGCGTAAACAACAGACGGTATTAATTTTTAATCTATAACTACGATGTTTTAATTTCAGATTCAACAAGTACTCTAAGAAGAACGTCATCATACGTCTTGAAGGAGCCTCGAGAGAAGAAACATGTTCAAATAATTGCATAAATACAGATTATAAATTTATATGGCAAAGTTAAATGAACAAAAAAAAAAGAGCTATGGTGAGAAATATTGCAAAAAACATTCCACTAGCAATAAGCACAAAACAAATGAAAGTAGGGCCTGTTTTAACTATATGCTAAATACCTACAGGCATTCCTTTTTGACCCGTTTTTAACAATCTACCCACACAGAACCATAGAGACCAATGCAGTTTTTTATAAAAGTATTTCCATAAAAAACATCATAAAACACAATGAACTATATATCATTAGTAAACGCTAGTAGCACTCAAATAAAACGTTTTTCAACGGATTCAAACACGAAATATATAAGTTAAACTTATTTACAAATTATTTCAACTACGGCCCGACGTTCCGATGCTTTGCAGCGCCGTGGGCAGTGGCTGCAGTTGAAATAAATTTTAAACAAGTTAAACTAATATATTTCGCATTTTAAACCGTTAACGGTGTTATTTATCTTAGGAAGTTATACGTAAATGAAAAGGAAATTTTAAAAATTCTACGTCTATGTAGTACATTTACGAACGTCACACCAGTTAAAAACTAAAGATTAAATTTACACTTACTACCAGTTCTCAAATCAAGGGTCTAGATCGAACAAAAAGAACTGGCAATAGACTCGCGGCCACTCCTTTTTTACTTTAAGTGCGCTATATTTTTCCTTGTTAGAGCAGGTTCCTCTAGATCCCAAGGACTTCTCAAAAGTTTCACTAACTCCTTATCAACATATGGACTATGATAATTGCTATTATAATAGAACCATTTGGTTTGTTTGTTTAACTTTGTCACTAAACAGGTATTATTGTAGATTTTGTACTGTTTTTAAAAACCTTATAGCATTAAAAACAATGACAAGTATTCGAAAAGTAATGTTGTTCGTTATGCTAAGAACCAAAACGTACATTTTTAACGAGGCTCCATCTCTCTCTTTCCCCCTCTCTTCCCCTCTCTCTCCCCCTTTTTCTTCCTCTTTCTCCCTCTATCTCTCATCCACGATTTTTTTATAACCTACAGAATTTTTTGGACGGGCTTATTGGTCAAAAATAATTCGACAGGTCCATCTTGTTTGAATGTTATGTAGCCAGCGTTCGATTAGTAATTGAAAATAACTGAAAAAAAAAGATATAAATAAGATTGAGATGATTTTTCACTCGTCGTAAACTTTTTTATTAACCGAATAAAACATGAAAAATAAATGGAAATAATTAAAAATGTATTTGTATGTAGCATAATCAAACACTAATACTTTTCGGTACCCCTAATCATTAAGGAAATAATATTTTAAAAAGCTATTTCTAGATAGGTATAATCAAACGAAATTTATTCTAAAATGTATATGCTATAGGGGTTAAAATTACACAAATATTAGATTTTACAAAATATACTATAGAACGTAGATATTTTAAAATTATAAGCGAAAGGATTGTTTGAAGTTTACGCAAGTACACATTATTAACGGTTTAAAACGCGAAATATAACACTAATCTTTCTTATTTTATAAACGGCTCGACATTTCGGATGCATTGCTGCTGTGGTCGCGTCATATTTTAACTAATATAATTCGTGTTTAAAACCGTTGAAAATGTATTGTTTAATTGGTGTAAGTGTCAGGTTTGATTTTAATATTTTTTATTGATATCTAAGATTATAAGACACCACAACTTAGGTAATGCATTTTTTTCATGTTAAAATAAAATAGTTTTGGCCTCCTTGGTGGAACCTTTTTTCAGAAGGACACAGAAAATACATTCTAAATTTAAGAACAAGGAGTTCAAAATTTTAACTGGCCAAATAAATACTAGTCATAAAAATATATTTGTGTAAGGGATTGCAACTGTTTATGTTAAGTAGTTAATGCGAGGTCCGATAGAAGAATTCAAAACATAACAGTACTATAAGCCTAATAAAAACTGGATTTAGCTGATCCGATTTAAGTCGGAGTAGTGTCGTTACGTAACGAGTTACTGTCGCAGTCTGGCTTCATATTTTCTAATACAGGGCAGCGGGCGGGTTCCCTTTTTACGAAATACTCGGCGGTGACCCGACGCGGCCTGCGCTGTAAAATGTATAGACGATCGGCGACCGCATGTAGATGACTAAATTCGGATCTAGCTGGGATGTCGCGCGAATGATCACTTCGCCAGGCCCGTCGCAATTCGCATCGCAATTCGCTCCACCCAATTTTATACCCGGGCGGTCATTCACTCACCTTTTTCTAGTCAGTGTTCTACTACATTTAATACCTTCTTTCTCCAGCGTTCCGAAACGCACACGATTTTTCACCTGTACATCTTGAAGAAGTGAAAGTCCAGAGCAAAAATAGATCTGTCATACAAACTGTCTAATTAGGGAAATATTAAACGTACTTCTGGTGCTTTTTCACTTTCTTCCTCTTTCTCTTTCTTTTCTTTTATCGGATCCGATTTTTGTAACGCTAGGATTATGATAGGATTTTGTACATTTCTATGCTAGATAGATTATCACAGGGAAAAGATGTCCATTTAATTATAAATAATGACTAGATGAACTGGCACACTTTATTTTGCCGTATGACACATAAATAAAACACTTCAACAGTTTAAAACGCGTTATATATTAGTTAAACTTATTTGACAATTATTTTAACTACGGCCCGTCGTTTCGGAGCCTTAGATCTTTTAAATAGGAAATATTCTTTGATTCACATTTTTGGGTATTTTGAACCATTTTTGCAGCTTACGCATCGGAGACCCACAGAGATGAACAATTTCCCCGTATTTTCCACATTTCCCGATGTTACTTCGCTCCTATTAGTAACAGCGGTGTTCTATAGTCTTTGATAAATGCCCTAACTAACGCAAAAACAATTGTTTCAAACCAGTAGTTCCTGAGATTAGCGCGTTCAAACAAACAAACTCTGCAGCTTTTATATTATTATATAATCCTTTCTATAAAATTAATTACTGGCGTTGAAAGCTTTGTGTTCTGTATGTTGTAATTATCGTATTAAAACCTTCAAAAAATATATTGAAAAGTATAAAGTTATCGAATAGAATCTAGAATTATATTTTGGACACTATTTCTTTGTGATAATTTATTTATTAGAACATTGAATGTGTTTGGTGTTGTCAGCTAAGAGTGTGGAAATTATATATACTGTTAGTTATGTATACTCTGTGGGTACAGAAAAACTCTTTTAAATTAATTTTAAAAGTAATTGAAAAAATTCTATAGAAAAATAATACGACTGGGGTCGGCCAAACTTTTCGTTTTTTTATTAAACAGTTTTATTTTGCCCGTACGGAATTTATTCATTTATTTGGGTCGAAATTAGAAATTAAAATTGAACCACCTTCCCGCTATCAGATTGATCTGAAATTTGGTACACACAATTAATTTAGATGACAATACAATATGATAAAATCGATAACATTATAAATCTAAGATGGCCGCCGATACAAAATGGCGGATCACATAATTTTCCTTAACCCCCACAATATGGGTATCAAATGAAAGGGCTACGCTAGTAAAACACGATGATTATGTCAATTTTTTTTTGTAGTTTCCAGTGCACAAAAAATAAAACTGTTTAACTTAAAAGTTTTTTAAGTTGACACTTGTTTTTAAACAATCTCTGTAGTTTACGCGAGTAGTACACATTTAAATAAAACACTTTGACAGTTTGAAACGCAATGTATATTAGTTAAACTTTGGAAATTATTTTAACTACGGCCCGACGTTTCGTATGCTTTGCAGCAGCCGTGGTCACCCTCGTGGGGCATGGGGCGAACACATTTTTATGTCCGTTTCACTGATCCGTTCTTTAACAGGCAAGTAACAGGACGTCTTGCGCTTAACGCGAAACATGTTCAAAAAATATATATACATATAACAATAACTAATATACATCGCGTTTTAAATTGTTACAGTGTTTTATTTAAATATATCTTTTTTTATTATTATTTCGATATAGCCTTTAAAGTACTTAGAACTCGGTCTTAATTTTGTTTGTTTAAAAAATGCGAAATCCCCTCTCTTTGTGGATTGGGACAACGTGACGTCATATGCAGTCATCTAAATAGCCTTTAACACACATTAACAATGATGCCAAAAAGGAAAAAACAAGACTTTGAAAAGGTAATATTTTAAATGTTTGGTACTTAGTATTGTCTGTAGTTTACGCGAGCTGTACACATTGAATAAGGCAAATCAGAACGGTTTGAAACGTGAAATATATTTAGACAAACGAGAGGTTATTAAATCGGCCAATATATTTCACGTTTCGAACCGTTAAAGGTGTTTCATTTAATGTTCGGTATTGCTTGGTGTTTTTGTGATTGTAAAAGAATTTTTTAAATAAAACATGTTAATTACAAGTGACTTTTATTTCTTTAAGTGCAGTATTTTTGTTTTCAATAGTTCGTTGATCTTCTTCAATGGTGCGATCTTGTATTTGAACATTTCTGGTAGGAACTGAAAAAGAAAGTAATTTTTTAAACTAGCTGAACCGTTCGTATACCATATCAAAATAATTATATAATAAATCAAATGCAAAATATAGATAAACACAAATGTTTAGGCTTATAGAACGTATGTATAAAACAAAATTTTATAAAAATCGATGCAGCCGTTTTGGAGGTCTGTGGCATGAACACACTTTATAGCTAGCTACGTACAAACATTAATATAATTAAATAAAAGAAAGAACAAATGATTATTCATGTAGGTTGTGAGCCAATTTAATATTCTCACAGAGTCACACTATATTTATGGTCAGGGTCAAGCAATACTTTCTTGGTAATGCTGTTTAGCCTTGGCCTCACTGGCTTTAGAATTTAGGACATTTAGCATCTACATATGCTTCTCTAGGTGTTAAGTGTGTTATTTTATCTATAAAGTATGCTTAACTTTTGTAATTTAGTGTTAATTTCCAGTTTAAATTATTTTTTTATTTCTTATTTCATGCAAAGGTCGCCTGGGAAGAAATCGCCATAGGCGATAAGGACGCCTTTGTACAAACATGTTTAACATTATATGTATTCTATGTATTTAAATAAAACACTTTAACGGTTGCCTGGAAGAAAACGCCATAAATATAATTGATAAAAATATTTGAAAAAGAATTTTAACTTCGGCCACGTGTTTGTGACCACGGCTGCTGCAAGCATCCGTGCCGTTATGCATTTTCAAATATGTTTAACATGTATATCGCGTTTTAAACCGTAAGTGTTTTTCGGTAAACTATACAGTATTTAATTCTATGTATCCATGTTCTTATGTCTATGTTTGTGCAATAAAGAGTTTATTATTATTATATTGAATAAAACATTTAGAACGGTTTAAAACCACACATAAAGCGTTTAAAATCTGGATCGTCTTTTTTCAATATAAGATAAATTCTTTTAGATCATTTAATGACAGACAAGCCTGATATTCCTAGCACCAATTCAATATCTAGATTTCCAGTTGGCATGTAGCATTCACAAAGCTATTTGAACCACGCCGGACCCGGTGGACATCGAACCCACGACCCGGTGATCAGCCGTCAAATCTTGAATGACATCGCATCGCATCTACCTCTCATCGTTAAAAAGAATACGGATATAAAATTAACTTAAAAACCAGAAACTCACCTCAATCTCACGATTGAATTCTTCACGACGCTGTTTATCAGCGTGACTGGATGCTGATCTCCTGCCCGAATCATATTCTCCACTATCAGAGTTCGTCGACTGTTTTTGTATTACAATACACCTGTAATAATGTACTAATATATAAAGCTGAAGAGTTTGTCTGTGAACGCGCTAAAATCAGGAACTACTGGTTGGATTTGACAAAGTTCTGTTTGTGTTGGTTAGAACATTTATTGAGGAACGGTATAAGTTCGCGCTGTGACTAATAGGAGCGAAGAAATAGCGTAAAATGTGGAGACGACGACGTGTGTAACAGCTTAAGTTTATAAAGATTAAAAAAAGAAATTGGATGCCCAAAATAACGATTCTCGCGGACGAAATCGCTGTTTGAAGTCGCGGGCGCAGCTAGTAATATTTTAAATAGGCAACAGACTTTTATAGAGAGTAAGCATATTTCAAGTTTTATATTTCGGGTTTTAAACAGTTGAAAGTGTTTTATTTAATATAATGGACTACTAATATAACTACATAGTATAGAATAAAGACGCTTTTTCTGTCCCTATGTTGAATTTCGATGCGGTTTTTAGCTAGGGTGGTTCAAGAGGAAGGTCTTATATATAAATATATGAAGTTCAAAGTTTTTCTGTAATGAATTTAGTGTCAGCATTGCACCCGATCGAAGGCGGGCGTGTCGCTAGCTGACATATAATTGCTATCGCGTCTTTTGTGGTATATAAAACCAGCAAGCAATAAATGAAAACAAACCATACCGTTTTTGCCTTAGCGCAGCGTTGGCGAAGATATCTAGAAATTAAATATAGTATATAAATAATTAATTCTATTAGTACAGATATAGAACATACATACACACAAATACTGTCTGTATTTTACGAGTAGTACACATTTAAATAAAACACTTTAACTGTTTAAAACGCGATGAATTTTAGTTGACAGGGCTGTTGCAAATTATCGTAAACGTCGACCGTTTAAATAATATATATATTGCGTTTTAAACCGTTAAAATGCTTTATTTAAATACATACATATATACGACAGTTGTTTCTATACCTGGTGACATATATTTTAAAATAGATTTTGTAAATATAAATATATATTGTAAGTATATGTAAATGTTATTAAAAAAAACGGATTTGTTAAATACTTTTTTTTTACGAAAATAGAATTTTAAATAATTAAATTAGCCGATAAACCAAATTGGAGTAGATAAGAAAACTACAAGGATATATATATATAAATATTTTTCGGGTTTCTTAGCCCAATGGTAATAGTGGTCAGGTCGCGGTTCTGGGCAGTTGGGCCATAATTCGACTGTGGTTCTAGAAATGTTATTTATGGCTTCAAGGTTTAAATTAACAAAATAACCTAAAAATGATTTGACCAAAACTCTAGATGTTTTTAAATGACCTTAATTTTCGTTAGTTGAGTTTTGAGACAACCTGTATAATGAACGTACCTCTTTGAAAAACCAACACCAGTAAAACCAGTAACAAGTAACGACACATTTTGAAATGACGAAAAAATATATGTATGACTTCCCCTTTATATACTTCAAACGTTCGTAAAAAGTTATCTAGTATGCGGGTATAATGACTGGGAAATTATAGTAATTATAACAGTCGGGCTTTGGAAACTCACTGTAATATTTATTTAACAACTAACCGATGATGTTTTAAGTAAATAAAACAACTATGCAATGCGCTGTCGGCCTATTAGCTCGATTAAACTTGACGGCTTTCTGGTGTAATGGGCATCTTGTTCAACAACCGCTGGCTACGTAGCCAGCTCGTTAATATTGGCATTGCGTTAAGCACCGAATGTCCTGAGTTCGAATCCCAAACAATAAACTGTTTATGGTCGGGCAGGGCACAGAATTCCGATCTCGCTTGTAAAAGAACCGATCAAAGGAACGGACATTAAAATGTGTTCGCCTCATGTCCCACAGGCAAATGGAATTTCACAGACACACTTCTAGTTAAGATAAAGATATGGAACTCTTAGCTTGTTAGTCCTCCGCTATCATAAAAGTTGTCGATTATCTAAGTACACTTTAACGGTTTTAAACACGATATATATTAGTTAAGCTTGTTTCGTTTGTGTGGCCGTGGTCATGGGGACTCTCTCCCTATTTTTAATGTCTACTACAGACAGTATTGTCGATTAACGCCAAAAGAAATTGGTGAAAACATAACTAACCTTACACAGTTGGTAAAACGCTAAGTAAAAGTATGTATTGTATGAATACTCATCTGCTATCAAACTTTCAACTCATTTTTAGCCTTGAAAAATCTTAATGAAATCTTTTGAACGACCGATATATGTGGACCTCCCGCGGCCCCCGTCCCAGATATTGGTGATATAGCGCTATGTATAACTAGTACGCAAAATGGGAGGTCAATTGGCCCTGGACGTTTAATAACAGGTCTTTAATTTATGGGTTAAAGTTCAAATGTTGTCAGCGGTGATAATGATGAGTAAATAAGGTTGTAACTTGGGAGTTTTTTTTTATTAAGTCTAAATTGAAAATCTATACTAATGGGGCCGTTCAAGTATTACGTAAGCAGATTTATTACAATTATTTACCCCCCCATCCCCCCTTGTCAGCAAAAGGAAGCAAAGCTTTTACCCCCTCCCCCCCGTGCTTACGTAAACATTTTTCAATTAAAAATGTGGTGGTTGCCATTCGTGTAAAAAAGTAAATAAATATAGATGACGTAATCATCATCTGGACTCCCCTACCCCCCATGTCATCAAAAATAAGCAAAACAAAGACCCCGCCACCCCCCTATAGTGCTTACGTAATACTTGAATGATCCCAATATATTATAAGGCTAAAGAGTTTGTTTGTTTGAACGCGCTAATCTCAGAAACTACTGGTTCGAATTTAAAAATTATTCTTGTATTGGTTAGAGCATGTATCGAATGTGGATGTGTGGAGAAACGGGGAAAATTATACACCTCTGTGGGTATCCGTTGCGTACGCTGCGAAAACGGTTTGAGATACGCAAAAATATCAATGAAAGAATGATTTCTTTAAATGATCTAAGTAAATGTCCGCGACACTAAATGTGAGTCGTTTGTAATAGCTTAATTTATAAAGATGACAAGGCGGTCGGCAAAAACATATATGGACGGCTAAAATTATTGTTCTACGCGGACGAAGTCGCTGATACAGCTAGTCGATTATAAATTGAAAAAAAATACGACTCGAGCAGCACTTGTTCTCTAACCAATTGAGCTACCGAGACTCGATTTTTAATTTATATATTGCCATAATGAGCATGTGAAAAATATTAAAGTTCTCAAGTTACAACCCTGTTCTACTCAGTCTTATACAGTTTAATCATTACACGAGATTCAGTGGAGACGAAAACAGTGTATTGGCTCATTATTTTGACGTTTGTGAGTACGAATATTTATTATATATAAAATATTTACGCCTAACAAGTAGTATGTTAAATACTGTCTATAGTTTACGCGAGTAGTACACATTTAAATAAAACACTTTAACGGTTTAAAACGCGATATATTAGTTAAACGTATTGAAAATAAAATTTAACTTCGGCCCGACGTTTCGGATGCTTTGCAGCAGCCGTGGTCTCCCCGTCTCCCCGTGACCACGGCTGCTGAAAACGTCGGGCCAAAGTTAAAAATAATGTTCAAATAAGTTTAACTAATATATCGCGTTTAAAACCGTTAAAGTGATTTATTTTAATTGAATAACTCTTTTTAAACAGTTTGAAACGTGAAGTATATTAGGTGTTTATTTTTCAGCAATGACCCGACGCTTCGGTTGCTTTACAGTGTCGTGGTAATTAGAGCGACACCTACGTTTAATTTTCTGTATTTTTAGATTGTATTTTTTATTTTCAGATTTCACAAGATGTTAGCGTACGGACTAGTGTTGTTTTATGGTAAGTTCAATTTAGATCTAGATCTTAGAAGAAGACGTAGATAATTAATTTAATGTGAGAGAAAACACATATATAATCTATACTAATATAAAAAGCTGAAGAGTTAGTTTGTTTCAACGCGCTAATCTCAGGAACCATTGGTTCGAAATGAAAAATTATTTTCGTGTTCGTTAGAGCATTTATCGAGGAAGCCTAAGGCTATAAAACATCGTACTGTCACTAGTAAAAGCGAAGCTACAACGGAAAATGTGAACAAAATAGGGGAAAATTTTCATCTCTGGGTTTCCGATACGTCCGCATAAATATGGCCACCTTTTTGCAAGAGCGACGGGACGCGACCGACGTCGTAGGTTACAGCTTAAGCATATAAGCTTAAAATAACTATACTACGCGAATGAAGTCGCTGACACAGCTAGTATATGATAACTAAGATATAGATTACCTCGAGTAGGTACGTGTATAAGTGATTTAAAGGAATTATCTTTGTGTTAGAACGGTTTAATATTTCATGCTAAGCTACAATGCTATGATACTTATAGACATATTATGACAATAACGGAAAGAAAAAAAAACTACATGACACATATAGAAGGAGACATATTAAACTGGGACCAAAGAGATCGTTCAAACTTTTCGAACATTTAATCTATGCTTTAACGGTTTAAAACGCGATTTATTTTAAGTTTCGGATGCTTTCGCCGAGTCTCCCCGTGGCCACGGCTGCTGCAAAGCATCCGAAATGTCGGGCCGTAGTTAAAAATAATTTTCAAATAAGTTTAACTAATATATCGCATTTTAAACCGTTAAAGTGTTTTATTTAAATGTGTACTACTCGCGTAAACATAAAGTATTTAGTTATTCTATGTATTAGCCCAATTCATTCTATTTATAAAAAACGAATAGTTTGAAATGCAAATATGACTTGGCTTAAATGTCCCGTTATCAGGCCATAAAAATTATTTAAAAAAATAATAATTCCCTCAGTTACAAAAATGCGTTTCTGAACATCATGTCAAACTTTTATATCAAACTTCGATTATAATATAAAGTTTTAATTTAATTGATCAATATTGGCTGTTTGAAAGTTTTATATTTTTCATATGTTATTTAATTTAATTATAATCGATTATGAATCGAAAAAAACATTGCGCGACAGGTGCAAGTACGTATGCTGAGAAAGTCGACGATGACGTGTAGGGCCCTGTAGCTCAATTAGGTTAGGGCAACAGAGGATGTCGCTTCGAATCCTGCCCGAGTCGATTTCTTTTCAATGTATAATCGATTTTTAAATAATACTGGCTGCTTATTGAGGCAACAATAAAAAAAAATTACATGTCATTGTGACGTTTCACTATTTTAAATATTACTAATTCTACGCGCCTGTTGTTTTGGCCATCATATTATTTACTAGCTGTGACCGCGACTTTGTCCGAGTTATATAGTTTGTATGGGCAACAATGTATTTTTGCAAATATCGTCTTTATAAACTATGGATAACTCACGATTCCGTTCGCGTCTGGTCGCATCCTTGCGAGGTAACATATAGACATGTACTGTCGCAGATTTTTTTAGAGTATATAAAGGGGATTAATTCTTTCACATTACATACACGCACTTTTTACGTGTCATTCTGACGTTTCGTTATTTAAAAAAATATTGAACATGGCAAGTATTATATATTGTTTACGCGCACATTTAAATGACACGTTTAACGGATTATAACGTATTTTTTTTAATGATAGTGGCACGATAGACATGGCATGATAGACATGGCATGATTCACTTGATGGTAGGTGTATACCCCAGCCTAAAGCATCTACACAAGATGTGTTGTCGATCTATTTCGTCTTTGGATATTCGGAAATCCACAGACTGAAACCGCAACGCGGTTAAACGTCACGGTTTTCTCATCTGTGGATGGTGATTCTTGACGCGGACGGAATTTCTGTTCCTACCGCTCATATTGTATCCAGATTTCCAGACGAAGTCCAGCACGTTTCAGACAAAATTAGTAACACGTTGGATCTGGTGGGGGTTCGTTGATAGCCATACATTGCTATCACCAGACCGACGAGCCCATCAAAAAAGTACTTCCTAACTTGTGATGTGAACTAGTCTTTTCAAATACCAACTATGACGTAACAGATTCAAATCCAAAACATTTCTCTTTTAACACATCCGTCCACTAAACTTAACTACTGAATTACGTAAACCAAAAATATATGAACTAGATGCGTCGGCGACTTCGTCCGCGTAGTGGAGCAAACCACATATTCATATTTAAATAAAGCACTAACAGTTTAAAACGCGATATATTAGTTAAACTTCTTTGAAAATGATTTTTAACTTCGGCCCGACGTTTCGGATGCTTTGCAGCAGCCGTGGTCACGGGGAGACAAATAAGTTTAACTAATATATCGCGTTTTAAACCGTTAAAGCGTTTTATTTAAATGTGTACTACTCGCATAAACTATAGACAGTATATCACATATTCATATTTATAAATTTAAGCTGTGACCCACGACGTCTGTCGCGTCCCGTCGTTCTTGCAAGTTAATCATAAAAGATAAACATTATCGCGGACAATTTTTTAGATCATTGAAAAAGAAATCCTGACATACATGTTTTTTGATTATCTTGAACCGTCTTCGCAGCGTAATAAGATAAGGTTGGCAAAAAAAATTTGGATGCCCAAAATAACAATTGATGTCTTCCAGGTGTCGCTTCGGTTTCTGCTTCCGGTCTCCAGTCCATCTTCCCCGAGCTGAAGAGGTACACTTACGAGTTCAAAGGGAACGTCTCATCAGGAAGTGTGGTCACCGCCAGTTATTGGACCATTGGTGGAAGATTGTCTGTCCTTCTGTACGATAATTATACGAGAGCACGTTTCGAGTTGGATAAATTGAAAGTAAATACTGTCTGTAGTTTACGCGACTAGTACACATTTAAATGAAACACTAACGGTTTAAATGATATAACTTACAATATTATTTTTGAATTTACTTTCAGCCGTCTGTATACAGTAAGAACCGTGGTTTCTCCAGCCATCAATCCGTTGAAGCAGCAGCATATCTGATGCAGCCATGGGAAGTAGAATACCAGGTCAGTATCTTCCATAAACATATTTACTCTTTTACACGAGTATTGTCAAAAATAAATTTTCTCTCGACTGGGTCGTTGGTGTTATGGTAGCAATGTACGGCTAATAACCACGGCTCGTGGGTTTAATCCCCACCATTGGGTCCAACATGTTTCTAATTTAAATAAAACACTGATCGGTTTAAAACACGATATATTGGTTATACTTATTTGAAAATGATTTTTAACTTCGGCCCGACGTTTCGGATGCTTTGCAGCCGCCGTGGTCACGGGGAGATAGAAATATGTCTAACCAATATATCGCGTTTTAAACCGTTAAAGTGTTTTATTTAAATGTGCACTACTCGCGTAAACTGTAGACTGTAGGTTTCTAATTTTTCAATTTATTAATTTTGCGAATTCTGGATAATGAATGCGTGGTTCGTGAACAACCGTCGACATAAAAAGCCGTCACGTTTATTCACGTTTCGGCTGCAGACTGCGGATTCCAGAATATAGGTTATATCTCGTATAGAAAATTGACAATTCCTATTCACAATTACAGGAATCCGGTTTCATCGATGCGATATATCTAAGCGACGAACCAACTTGGTCGAAGAATATGAAGCGAGCGATTTCTATCAATTTTCAACTGAAGAAAGATACCGGCTCATATACTAATAACGAGGTAAGATAATTTACTTTAAATACTGTTTATAGTTTACGCGAGTAGTACACATTTAAATAAAACACTTTAACGGTTTAAAACGCTATATATACTAGTTAAACTTATTTGAAAATGATTTTTTTAACTTCGGTCCGATGTTTCAGGTGCTTTGCAGCAGCAAATCATTTTAAAATAAGTTTAACTAATATATCGCGTTTTAAACCGTTAAAGTGTTTTATTTAAATTTACTTTATTGTTTAAAGACCAAAAGTGGGTCATGGTCTCCGAAGCTAAGGAACGCCATTTTCAACGGTTGATTTATTGAGATATTTAGACGTGGAAAACGGAACGTGGACGGAACAGATGGCGCTAGCGTAGCAATTTTTTACTTTGAAGTCAGAGACATCCTCCATCTTTAGTCTCCCCGTGACCACGGCTGCTGCAAAGCATCCGAAACGTCGGGCCAAAGTTAAAAATCATTTCCAAATAAGTTTAACTAATATATAGCGTTTTAAACCGTTAAAGTGTTTTATTTAAATGTGTACTACTCGCGTAAACTATAGACAGTTGAAAAATTTTTGGCTAACAGCTTAAGTTTATAGAGATGACGGGGTTTGCGAAAACTTATTTGGATGCCCAAAATAACGATTCTCGCAGACGAAGTCGCTGCCATAGCTATCACAATATAAAGCGCGAAATATATTCAACCACAGCTGTTGCGAATTATCGAAACGTCGGGTCGTTGTTAAAAATTAATTAACTAACATATTAAACCCTTTAAATATGTTATTTATGAGCCTGCCTGCATCAATTTAATTTAAGAGGTCTTCCAATGCCTAAATTGATTTCAATCCCACATTTGGGACACGTGTTTTCTAAAATATGTCCATTCATACAAAAATATCATTTTACGCGAAATATATCCAAACACAGCTGTTGCGAAGTTTGATAATTGTCGGGTCGCAGAACCACGGCTGTTGAAAATTTAATGTGGAGTTATAAATAATTTAACTAATATATTTCGCGTTTTCAAGAGAAATTAAAGTATATATATATATTGACAATAATTTAAAATTGATTCCAGCCATGTCTGTACGCGCTGTGTGTAATGATATACACAGCTAAAGGTAACACCGTCAAGAAATACAGTTCCTTTCAACGCTCCGCTGGTGGAACCGAACATACCTGGAGTTCGGTACCTTGGAGTAATGAATATGGACGTGTGGTAAGAGCATTGAAAATGGGCGGGTGGGAACCGAACCCAATCTTGGGGGCGAACTTATTTCTGTGTCCGTTTCATTGGTCGGTTTTATTTACTGCAGAAAAATTGAGAAAAGTGTTTTTCCACAAGTAGTAATTAATCGTGACCCAGACGGCATTGCTATATTCCTACTGCCCAATTAATATCCAGATTTCCAGAGGAAGTCCAACATGTTTCAGAAAAATTGCTAATTAGGAACGTTTTGGACCCGGTACCCGTTATTTATCTACTAACTAACTAGCATATAAAGCTAAAGAGTTTGTTTGATTGTTTGTTTGAACGTGCTAATCTCGGGAACTACTGGTTCGAATTAAGAAAAAATGTGTTAGATCATTTATCAAGGAAGGCTATAAAACATCGCGCTGTGCCTTATAGGAGCGAAGAAAGGAAAATCCGACGCGTACGCTTACGTTACCAAACAAGATAACCGAAAAATATGTATCGTGGGCAACAGTATAATTTATAAAGGTGAAGAGAAGGTTTGCAAAAACTAATTTGCCAAACTAACTATTCTACGCGAACGACGTCGCTCACGCAGCTAGTAAGCCCTGCATCGCTATCGTTAGACCAACGTGCCCGTCCAAATTAACCGTAACATCAACATAATAAATTAATCCAGCAAACAACAAAACAACATTTGTAGGATCGAATCAATTGTGAATGACAATAGTTTTACTAAAATTAATGATTTACAGCCCGAAAATATTGCGACATCTGAACGTATTTACGAGCTAGACGAGCACGGCTTGACAAGTCTTCATATGAAGGGAGACTTCCGTTATAAAGTTCAAGACCACATCCTTAGCGTTTCTTCCGAGTAAGTACTTTCTGTATAAGATATATGCTAATATATAAAGCTGAAGAGTTTGTTTGAACGCGCTAATCTCGGGAACTACTTTTGTGTTGGCTAGAGTATTCATCGAGGGAGGTTTTGGGCTATAAAACATCGCGCTGCGGCTAATGAGAGCGAAGAAGCAGTGTAAAATGTGAAAAAAAGGGAAAATATATTATTCTTTGGCGGTTTTCGTTGCAAGCGTTGCGAAAACGGTCACTGGGTATATTGTATGGAAGCTTAAAAAATGACCGCGACAGTATGTGTCGTTGAAGAGTTAAAGATTTACTTGCAAGAACGAAGGGGCGCGACCGACGTCATAGGTAACTACAATTTACAAGAAGAAGTAAGAAAAGAAGAAGCGAATGAGAATAGAAAGAAGTACTAACTCTTATCAATCAAAATTATAACTCATTTATCCCATGTAGGTGGAGAAATAAGTTATGAAAGTCAAAACAAAGGGGTAAAAAATACTCAATCAAAGAGATAAACTACATAACAATATGTCTTAGGTGTTACAAGAAGAATCATGTAAAATGAAAAAAAAACTCAAAGTCAATTGTTTTTTATTTATTTATTTATTCATAAGGATAAATTAAATAAATATAGATAAAGACATGAAGATTCTAAATTCAAACTTACTGCTAGTTTTAAACTAAAACACTTTAACGGTTTAAAAAGCGATATATTTTAGTTAAAGTTATTTGAAAAGTATTTTTAATTTACTAATCATTTTTAACTGCTAGTTCTCAAAACAAGGAACGAAGGAGAAGAAGTGGCAAGAGAATCGCCGCCAATCCTTTTATCGCCAAGTTTTATTTGCCTTATGTGTGTGATAGATTTTAAAAACTCCTCAGCGAGGTGCCTACGCCCAGAATTGGGACATTCATTGATATGAATCTTTCGTAATTGTTCCATACTATTTTTCAGATTGTCATTCTATCTGGATGCAGATTACCCTGGGACGGCTGTGGAAAAGTTAAACGTGACTAGAGAAAGTGTCCAGTACGAAGCCAGCGATTTTAACGACCCGACAAATGGAATACGATTTTTGAGCCAGACCCACTTGAAGAATAGGACTTACGAGGTAACAAAAGAATTTGACGGGCCCCTTGGTCCAACGATAGCAATAACCGGGCCCTGGTTTCGACTCTCATCGAGTCTAACTTGTAAAAACAATTTATATATTTTTTTCGCCTGTAGCCGCTTAATAAGCGAAGATAAGCTTAGTGAAAATATTGTTTTAAAAATAGAAAAAAAAAACTAATTATAAGCGGTACTTACTACCTAAAAAATTTGACCGCCTCTGCTGCGCGAAACAAAAAATGTTTCGGTCGCGCAGGGCACAGAAGTCTGATCAATTACTTGCCTGTTTAGGAACGGATCAGTGAAAAGGACACAGAAATGTGTTCGCCCCATGCCCCACGAGGGGGAAGGGGCTTTCACACTTAATACTAAGATAATAATATAGACTAATAAAGGGGGTTTTAGCAGAAGTTCGCAAAATTAAGTATATGCAATATAAAGTAAAAATGGCGTAGTCTAGTTCAATTGAAGACAAAGGACTCAGTGAATTATGAACTTAGGATACCGTCGGAGAAAACTTCTTGTGTGCAGATCTGATGTATGATGAAATAAGAAGGGAAATAGAACTATTAAATCATACATTTATTTTATAGTACATTATGATATAAGTGCGGTAAGTTGAAAATTACAGCCGAGGCGATATTACTAGGATAGGCTGTAATTTTCAAAGCGCACGTATGTCATACGACGTTTTATAACATATTTACGAGGAAATGACGACATTTTCAAATAAAAACAATACAGCGAAAAGAAAAAGCGCGCGGAATTATTTTTACTTGTCCACAAATAAGCGATGCGCGCGCATCAACGTTTTTTTTAGGCAAAGGTACAAAAACAGCCAGTATTACTAATAAAGTAAATTAATATTTTAGTGCTTTTGTTACAGATAAATGGTTGTAATTTATTGTAAAAATTGAAGAATTAAATGTTTATTTGTTATATTCTATTTCCCAAAGTTAATTTTATTCATAAAATATTGACCGCTGACATAAAACCTCTTTGCTAAGATTTTTAAAAGTATCGTTCATTTTTACACGGAGTATCTTATAAGTTTATTTAAAAAAACACGTGCCTTTTACATTACATTATCGCACAAGTACGTAATGAGATACATTACGATATTGAAATTGGTGTAATTACATCCACTTTACGAGCAAATATGTTATAAAACTAATTTAAAACATTATATTTTAAGCACAAGCAAAAAAGAAACTAAATATATGCCTCACAGTCGCACGATCTTATAATTAAGTATCTAGTAATCGAGCTCAATTGGTAAGATCAACAGCACGGAGCTCTGTGGGTGCCGGTTCAAGCCCTGCCCGTGTCGTAATGGTTTCCAATTTAAAATCGATTTTTAATTTAACATAAAATATATATTGTTTTTAGATTCTGATGAAAATCGCTAAACGAGGGATAGACGCTGACAATATTGTGAGGAACGAATCGCTTATACACAGTTTGGATTTCATTGATCTACTGAAGTGAGTATTTGCATTGTCTACTGTATGATATTTGAGGCCGCTAGAGCCAGAGTGGCCTAACTGCAATTTTATGACTTGACTTACATCTTTAGTCTAAAAATGTCAATCTACAAGAGCATAGTGATCGAAAATTTTATTTAAGTTTCTATCTAAGGTAGCTTATGTTTGTGTATATTAAATAGTTCAGTCTTCGGTCAGTTGGAGCTTATTAGCTGATCTTCCGCATGATAAAATGGGTCGTATAACTAACTTGATTATATCTAATAAGAAATTTAAAAAAACATACCTAGAGTTATTTAAATAAAACACTTTAACGGTTTAAAACGCGATATATTAGAAAATGATTTTTAACTTCGGACCGACGTTTCGGATGCTTTGCAGCAGCCGTGGTCACGGGGAGACATATACCTAGAGTTATTATGAGTGCCCAGTTCAACAAGAACCAGGGTTTGAATCTAGAGCCTGGCAAAAGACTTCGGGTGTTATTTCGGATTTGAGAAATGTATCACTGGGCGATAAAGTTGGAGGGTGTCCTTAATACTAAAATCAAAATAGCTAGATTATCAACTTCGCGAAATACCAATTACGAGGAAACAGATGGCGCTAGCGTAGCAGACGTAACGTTGATTTTCAGTTAAAGTTAAATATATTGTTAATAACGAACACCTCTCGCGTTGTAAACCGTTAAAAATGTTTTGTTTATCGTCGCCACTCTTTGCTTTCAGTTACCAATTGTTTTATTATTTTCAGCACAGTTTCCCAGTTATCATACGAAGGTCTGAAGAAGTTGTTCGCAGACTTAGTACTTGGTACGAGCTATGACTTGGAAACAGCTAGGAATATATTTCTAGAAGTCCTTCCACATGGTAGAAGTGACGCGTGCGCAAGATTTATAAAATACCTTGTGGTGGAACAGAAGGTAGCAGTAACGTAGTTAGTAATCTTAAAGACACGAATATGCCTTTCACTCGGCATGGCAATGGGCGGACACAAATATGTGTCCGTCTTACTAATTTACAACACACATTTAATACAACATTGTTACCGGTTTTAAACGGGAAATATTTCAGTCCCGTTTTCAATCTGTACTTATTTTCCGTTTTTCTTTTCCTTTTTTTTTCGTTTATTAATATACTGCAAGTTTTAAACCGTCAAAGTATTTTATTCTATCTATTTATTTGTTTTACCCGAAATCCAAACAGGGTGCGTGACAATTACGTGATAAATCACAGTCGGTAAAATTTTAAGTTACTTATGTAAATCAGTTTTAATCTAAATATATAAAAATTAAATTAACTCTAAAATACCTCATTAATAACTATAATAATAACACTAGTTTCCTTAGTTTACGGAAAATAATTGACTTTAAGAAAATATTTTATTGGATTAAAACTCGAAATTATCAATTAATTGGCTTTTCAATAATTGATTCAAAGCGTCGCGTCCTAGTTGGGACTAAATAAATAAAAATATTTTGTTTTTTAAATCGTTTACTCATTATAGTTTTGGTAATATGCCGCGTATATTTAAATAAAACACTTTAACGGCTTAAAACGCGATATAAATTAGTTACGGCCCGACGTTTCGGATGCTTTTCGGCAGCCGTGGTCACGGGGAGAAGCGTCGGGCTACAGGTAAAAAAAGAATTTTAAATAAGTTTTAATAAAAAAAAAGTAAATATAAATCACGTTTTAAACCGTTAAAGGGTTTATTTAAATATCTATATTGTTACAGACAAAAATCGAGGACGCGACTATACTATCGTTGATCAGAAAGCTACCGTTCAACGTGGCGAATCACAGCCAAGGTCTTCTCGAAGAGCTGGAGACGTTCACCAAGCTTGGTCTGGACTTTCCACCGGACATCCGTTATGCTGGAATCCTGTCGTTTGCTATCCTCGCTTACAAGACGGCGGAGGCTTCCCAAGTGAAGCAAGACTATTTTGACAATATCGTCGTGAAGTACTTCAGAATGTATAGCGGTATATAGCTAAATAAAACACTTTAACGGTTTAAAACGCGCTATATATATTATTTATAAGAAAATTATTTTAACTTCGGCCTAAACGCAACGTCCGGTCGTAGTTAGAATAAATCTCAAGTATGTGTCGCGTTTTAAACCGTTAACGTGTATTATTTATATGTGTACTCTCGCGTGAACTATTATTTATTAGAAACGTGTAGCCATACTTGTTGAATATCCAAAGCCGAAATGGGTCGACAGCGCCATCAAGTGGACCCCATGGTTGTCTGTACTCCACTATCACAAAAAAAAATTAACCAAGTGTTTACCAGCGCAGGGGCGATAGCACGATGCTACAAACAAATATTAGACATTGATATTCTTCCAGATCACTGGTACAGGGACCGCGGCCCGCCCGTCAAATACTGGTGGCCCGACAGCAAAAAGAATGATCAAATTAATAAATTCATTTTCAATTTTTATCCATTAGCAATTCTTTATTGTCTTTAATTACCTATACTTCTGGCGGCCAGCCATCAGTTCATGATTTGGTGCTTCTCTTAATAAGTCTGCGAATCCCTGTTCTAGATTGTCCACAATACCTGGACCGGATGATTTGGCTGCAGGGCCTCTGCAGTTTGGGCTTTGCCGCTGATTCCTACATCCGTACCATATATAGTGACACATCCAGGAACAGACACGAACGGCTGTGGGCGTCTCTGGCCTGTGGGCAAGAATCCAGAGGATACATGGTATTTTCCACCTGATATAATACTAAGTATAGTGTATAGTTATATAGGCGATTGGTACGCATTTAAATAAAACACTTTTAACGGTTTGAAATGCGAAATATATAGTAAACTCCGTTTTAACCACGACGTGCTGGATGCTTTGTTGTCAACTAATATATTTCGTGCATAAAACCGTTAAAAATGTTTAATTGTATTAATACTTCATAGTATAAAATCAATTCGCTTTTTATGTCCCTATGTACGCTTAAATCTTTAAAACTACTCGACGAATTTTGATGCGGTTTTTTAAAGATAAAGTGATTCAAGATCAAGGTTTTTATAAACAGCGTTCACAGTTTTTCTTTAGTATCAGCATTACCGCCGAGCGAAGCCGGGGCAGGTCGCTAGTGTATTATGGAAAAATCGATGTCCGGACGGGACTCAAAACCACGACCTCAGTCTTCTTTGAATTTGATTAACGCGAGTCAACACAATCAAATAAAACAGTGTCAACGGAATAAAATAAGAAATATATTAGTGAACTTCATTTTAACTACGATGTTAAAAAAAAACGATGATCAGACGGGACTCGAACCCACGATCCACCTTGATCAACTTTTTTTGATATTGTCCTACCGCTACTGTGGACATGATAACCCGTGTTTTAAACCGTTAAAAGTTATTTATACACGTAATCTGCACTACTTGCATTAAAATGTTTATTTTTGTATCGTTATCATTTCAGTCCAATTCAATTCCTTCATATAGGCAGGGTTCAAACCCGCTACCACAGCATTCTTTATTAATATATATTGAACCACTACCATACACGGACACGGTAACTCCAAGCAACGATTTAAGATTTAAACTAATATGTTGCGTGTTTTGAACCGTTAAATTTGAATTATTTAATAGTATTCGTCACTCGTGTCAACTATATTTTTTGATATTCAAATCCAGGACCGTGTGGCATCAATAATATTTATCTCATAAATCTTATAGAAAACATACGACAGAAATTTACTTAAATAAAACACGTTAACGGTTTAATACGCGATATATATAAGTCCAGCTTATTTAGAAATTATTTTAACTACAGTCCGATGTTTCGCACGCTTTGATTTATATCGCGTTTAGAACCGTTAAAGTGGTTCATTTAAATGTGTACAACTCTTTGTTTTCAGGCTTTAGAGATAAGCCTGCCTATATTGACAAACGAAACAGAACACATACAGCTGCGCATATCAGCGCTCCACTCGATCCTCAAATCGGATATACGGGCGACGGATTTCCTCTTCATCCACAATTACATCATCAGCTCCGATGATGATCAGTTGAAGAGATTCTGGTACACGACTGTGAAGAGCTTGGAAGCGAATCGGTTCTTTGATGGATACAGATCGGCGTGAGTACGTTATGTTATCGATTGTACTAGCTGTGCCGTCCTCCGTGTGCCTTTGTCCGCGTCCCGTCGTTCAAGCAAGTTAATAAAAGATAGACATATACTGTCGTAGACATTTTTAAAAATGATTTAGAGACGAATCATTCTTTCATAAATATTTTTTGGCTATCTTGAACCGTGCTCGCAGCGTACTGCTTCCACATTTCCCACCATTGTTTTTTCTGTGATGTTTTATAGCCTAAAACTTTCCTCGATAAATGCTTTAACAAACAAATAAATAAGTTTTCAGATTTCCTGAGATTAGCGCGTTCAAACAAACACTTCAGCTTATAATATTAGTAAAAATTATAGGAGAACAGATATTCATACGGGTTACTTGATGGTACCTTAGTTATAACCGAACAGACGTGAAAAAATTTGATTACAGACAGACAAACCTATTGCATTGTATACGTTTTTTTTATTATAGAGGTGTGTGAAATATCACAGCCTATAGCATCTAAACAAGATGAACTGTAGACCTAATTTGGCTTTGGATAATCGGAAATCAACAGACTGCAACCGATATGCGATTAAACTTCTGTGGACCCAGGCGGAATTTTCAAATATTCCTACCACCCATCCAGATTTCCAGATGAAATCCAGCATGTTTCAGAAAAAATATAAATTGAAAAATTACAAGCATGTTGGACACGGTGGGGATAGGACTCACGACCCGTTCGTTACTAGCCGTACAAGCTACCATTACACCAACGACGTGTTAAACCAGACCAACGTATTAACGTGTTTCTTCAGATCTTACTATGTACCTTTCGTCGCTAAGCAAGTGGTGAACCCAGATACAACATACTGGGCTACAAACAATTACATCATCATGAACGGCGATGAAAACGGACCGTCACTGCAGATGTTCAGTATTGGTGAAGAGTTCAGCGCGATGCCGGCGATGGCTGGGGTAACTTTGAGCTCTGGCGGTCGGCGGCCTTATCAGACGTCGGTGAGTGAAAGTTACACAGGCGGGAATCGAATCCAAGTTCAGTGATGACCGAGGGACTATAAATAAAAATAATACGGGGAGTTGGGAAATTACATTTATTTATTTTTTTACTGATCTTTTTTTTTAACGGAGTAATAGTTTAAAGAAAAAATTTAACGGTTTAAAAAGTGGAATATAATAGTTAACCTATTTAAATTATGTTTCAAATGCGTTTTAAATGTTTTATTTTTATGCTTTTTACATAAAATTAACCTCACGAATTAAGCATCTGGATTGGACATTTGACAGGTCGCAATCAACCCGTCTCACTCATATTTAATTTAACGACCCGACGTTTTGGATGCTTAGGAGCAATTATGGTCACGAAACGGGTCGTAGTTAATATTTTGAGTTTTAAACCGTTAAATGTGTTCGAGATCCTTCTTACCATCTTGTTTGAAGACTGAGGCACCCGGGTGGTTACTATCTCCTACAGCACTAAATGGTTGTCTAAACGTCGGGCCGAAATTAAAAATCATTTTCAAATAAGTTTCACTAATATATCGCGTTTTAAACCGTTAAAGTGTTATATTTAAATAAGATAACGATAGATTGTTACACAGGGCACAAAATTTTGTTCAACTATTTGCCTGTAAAAAAACTTAGTGCATGGGACACGATGTGTTCGCCCCATGCCCCATGACAGAAAACTGCTAAGTATAGTCTTAAGTTATGTACGCGAGTAGTACGCATTTAAATAAAACGCTTATAACGGTTTCAAACGCGAAATATATTAGTGAACTTAATTTTAACTACGACGTTTCGGATCCTCCGTAGTTAACTAATATATTTCGTGTTTAAAACCGTTAAGTATTAAATTTGAAAGATATCACCAGAATAGTAACAGCTTGTGATAAAAAGAAATGTTTATAGATAGAAAAAATCTGTTACATAGCGGGACTGGAACCCACGAGCTCAGCTTTTTTTTTTGAATTTGCGCTATTCTAAGACAAAGCAAACGATTAATTTTCAGATCTACTTGATAGCTGAAGGTGTTTCGTCTCATATATTTAAAAATATGCGAGATTTTGGTGCGAAAGACCTCAACGTAGAGACCCTAGTTAAGGTGTTGGAGAAGATGAAGATCTGGACGCTGAAGAGCCCCCAGGAGGTACAGAGAAATATATAAGCGATATTCATAGATAATCTCTCAAAAATATTTATTGAAAGCTAAAAACATGATTTTTTTAAACAACTTGTTTTGTTCATTTTTGTAATTTTTGCGTGTAGTTTATAAAAAAACACAGTTTTCACGTAGTAGTAACAAATAATGTAGTAGATTTAAGATAAATTAATAATTAAAATGAAATATTGACACGAAGCACATCTTAACATAGTTTTGGTTTGGAAACACAGAGATTGAATCCACTAACAACTGAACAATCTGCGTGTGTAACTTTAAAAATAAATAGTCTATTGTTTATATGCTATCATGTACAATTAACAAGTAAAAACGTATAAAATATTATACTATTATACGTATTTAATTGAATATATTGAGAAAAAAAAACAATTCCATTTATTTAGTTGTACTATCAAATTATTACTTTGAGAGCGATAGACAAATGTCGATAAAACTTTGAACAGACAACATTTACAGGTTCACATAGACGTCGTGGTCAAGATTCAAGATAAGACAGTTTTCGCGACACACGTGAACCAAACTAGATTTAATACATGGAATGGTTTAGAAAGTAAGGCACTATGTTCCTAAATTAATTTATAACTAAACATCGTGAGTCTAATGATAACAATGTGTAGCTATTTCAATAAAACACTTTAACGGTTTAAAACGCGATATATAAGTTTATATAAACGATTTAAACCTATTTATCGACACTGTATGCGCCACTAGGGGTTTTATTAAAATAATGTTTGCGATAACCTGAAAAAGAATTACTGGTTTTATGTAAATACTGTCTGTAGTTTATGCGAGTTGTACACATTTAAATAAAACACTTTAACGGTTTAAAACGCGATATATTTTAGTTAAACTTGTGTGAAAGTTATTTATCTACGGCCCGACCGTTTCGGATGCTTTGCAGCAACCGTGGTCTCAGGGAGTCTCGCCGTAGTCAAAAATAATTTTCAAACGAGTGTAACTAAAATATATCGCGTTTTAAACCGTTAATGTGTTTTATTGAATTGGTTTTATGTAGTCTTTTAAATAATGATTTAAACTTTTTAGTGGCTAAATCTATAATGGAGTTTCTTCGGTTTGGCAGCCACATCAACCAGCAAATGGTGTATTATCCCACTCAAATGGAGATCAATATACCAAGTGAACTAGGTAAGTATGCCTTTGATTTGAACTTTGATTGAAAAAACGACGAAGATGACTCATCATCAGATCATTAAGACCAACCAAGTCAAAATCATCATCAAAGTTTTTTAATAAGACACATATAGTAAGGTGTTCAACGTTAGGATGAGAAGTAAAATATTACAAGAAAAGTTTAACTATTGGCTGTGCATCGTAAATAAATGACAAGCACACGAAAAATGTTTTTTTGTAAATCTCATTGTTATTAATTTTAGCTGATACCCGCGACGTCATTCGCGTCCCATCTATCTTGCGAGTTAATCTCAAAAGTCACGTATTACTTCGGACCTTCGTTTAAAACTTTGCTACATAATTTTTGGGTCTTGGGCCTCTTTCGCAGCGCACGGAACGGAATCGCAAAAATTTTTTTTTTTCATTTCCCACTGTCTCATAGCTCCTATCGGTTGCAGCGATATGGTGTATAGCCTTTCTCGATAAATGTTGTAACCAACACAAACATGTATCAATTCGAACCAGTAGTCTCTGAGATTGCGCGTTTGAGCCCGTTCAAACAATTTAGTACAGATGACTCGACGAATTTGAATTATTTTATTTTCGTAAGGAGTTATGTAAATGTTTCAGGTACGCCCGTGCGACTGCAATCATTGAGTATGGGCTTTACATCAGTGCGGGGGAACCTGACAGCACCAGCAGACCCCACCCTGGACTTGGACTGGGAGAATGATCTCCATATCAGGTGCGGTATAATGAGAAATTTCGTTTCCATTACAAAAATATCTCGGACGTAAGTGGTAACTAATATAGAAGTTTATGCCGTAAGTTAGTACGGGTGAATTTTACGTTTCGTGACGGTAAAAAAAAAAAAACACTTTTAACGGTTTAAAATTGTAAATGTATTAGTGAAACTTATATTCAATTTAAATTATACTTATATTAAATTATTTTAACTAGGGCCTGACGTTTCAGATGCTTTTATAAACTAACTTCTTAATCCTTTTACCAGATTTCAGGGTACCCAAGTGACGTCTTTATCCACATATGCACCTCTGGTGGAATCAGAGCATACAGGCAGAGTCCAACAGTCTGTGGTGGCCCATCTTCCCATCAAGTTTAACGTCACTTGTCAAAGTTCAACTAGATCTATAGCGTAAGTACACCTGAATGTCCGATATTATAAAGCTGAAGAGTTTGTTTGAACGCGCTAATCTCAGGAAATACTGGTTCGAATTAAGTTTTTTTTTGTTTTGGTTAGATCATTTATAGAGGAAGGCATTAGGATATATAACCTCACTCTGTGACTAACAAGATCGAAGAAACAGTAGGAAATTTGGGGACAATGGGAAAATATTTGTGCGTAGGTACGCCGCGAAAACGGTTCAAGAAAGCAAGAAATATCTATGAAAAAAAAGACTCAAAAAAAAAATGCCCGCGGTACCATGTGTCTATCTTTTACGATTAACTCGCAGGAACGACGAAAAAGAACTATTATGAAATAATGTCTATAGTTTACTCGAGTAGTACACATTTAAATACGCTTTAACGGTTTAAAACGTGATTTCGGATTCGTGATTTTTGCTTTGCAGCAGCCGGGCAACGTCGGGCCGAAGTTAAAAATCATTTTCAAATAAGTTTAACTAATATATCACGTTTTAAACCGTTAAAGTGTTTTATTTAGAACTATTATGTATAAAGCTGAACAGGCTGTTTGTAAAAACAAATAATATGATGCCCAAAATAAATATTCCATTCGGACAAAGTCGCGGGCACAGCTAGTATTTTATATTAGGTATGTGATCACGATTGCTACAAAGTCGTAGCTAAATTTGAGTTAACCACAAGCATGGCATATTCCTTTTTTAAATATACACTACTTGCGTAAACTACATAATATAATCATTGAAATGTCTATATGTATACGAGTAATAGATTACGCGTTTTAAACCGTTTGAAGTGTTATATTTAAAAGTATACTACTTGGTTAAACTAAAACGTTACCTGATGAATATATGTATATACTTTCTTCTTTCTATTCTTAAACGAAGAAGAGCCATTGGAGACAGCAGTTAAAACCCTTGGTTCTAGATTTAAAATCGATTACAAATCAAAAAAAATACGACTCGGGTAGACCCTTGGCCGGAACCGGCATCCACAGCGTTCCGGGCTGTTGCTCTAACTAATTGAGCTACCCTGCGCTATACGTCATCGTCGAATTTTAAATGTGATGAATATTAAAGCCTTGGTGATATTTCAGGTTCACTTGGCTTAATCCATTCGCTCAACGTGCCGGCATTGCACTGCATTCAAGAGTTCAGATCACGATGGACTCACACTTGGAAAGAGACGCCTACACTGTGACTTCAAAGCCTATTTCCAAAGTAAGTATCTTTCTTCTACTAAACCATTTGTAGTGACGTATGGGTAATCAGCTGGTCCAATATGTTTAGGAAAGAGAGAAAAATTTATTTACTACTAAGGCACACAAGAGCACATGTTACACTTATTACTAAAACATAAGAAAAAAACAAAACAATTTTATCTTAACAGTATGACTTAATGTAACAAGATAGGATAATGTCGTGTGCTGCTAGTAGAATAGCATCTTACTCAGTTTATATCAGGCCCTTTGTTGACCTGAAACTGATTTTCAGTAAGTCCTTAGAGTGTGGTCAGCGGTGCCACACTCAAGTTATAATAAACAAAAAAGAAAGTGGCTGTTGTACAAATAAAAACACAGTAAAATTTACAACAAAAAAGTAAATACTGTTTATAGTTAACGCGAGCAGTACACTTTTAAATAAAACACTTTAACAGTTTAAAACGCGATATATGCTTTGCAGCAGTTTACGTCTCCCCGTGACCACGGCTGCTGCAAAGCATCCGAAACGTCGGGCCGAAGTTAAAAATCATTTTCAAATAAATTTAACTAATATATCGCGTTTTAAACCGTTAAAGTGTTTTAATTTAAAAAAAGTAAGACAAGCTGCATAAATAGAAAAAAGAATTGTTCCACTCCATGTACAATACTATATAGTGTTGCCCAAATTCAGTCTTGGTCTTGCAGTCTTGGTCTTGTTCTTGCGTTTTTGCAAGACCAAGACCAAGAACAAGACCGCGTATTTTTAGCAAGACCAAGACCAAGACTGACCGTGCAAGACTTGAGCAAGAACAAGACATAGCCTGCAAGACTCTTGCGTCTTGCAGCTAGGACTTAGCGCTATTTCACTGAGTAGTTAGGTGTAACAGTTCGGTGTATAGGTAGGTACGCTTAGGAATTCTATGAGACGCAAAAAACTGTATCAAAGAATATGAAAAACTGGACCTATGCGCATTACGACTAATACCATAAACATAGCGAATAAAAAAAATATTAAAATCAAACTGAGTGCATGCATAGTTATGTTTTAACCATCGGGACTTTGATAATGCGGCATCAAAGGTTTTGTACTTACTTCTCAAAGAAATTTGCCGCTTTTCGGAAGTACATGGTTATGATACACGCGCCGGCGGCTTCTTTTGAAATCTAAAACAATCGTTGCCGCCACGCCGAAATCATAACATTTGACACTATTTGATTGCCGCCATAGGGCGTAGGTATACTCATGCAAAATAATTTCGAATTTTTTTACACGCTTTATATTATTGTTAACATAGAAATAGGTTAAGTGATGAGTCAGCCAAATGGTTACTTTGTATTAATTCTTGGTCAAAAAAATGGATATAAAGTATCATAACCTAATTAAAAAGTATTATTTAATTAATTAGTTATTATAAATCATAAATGTTTATTAAGAAACAGTTACTTCCATGGAAAACGACATATAGGTCAGTTGATTTTTCGAATTTCTTATCAAATCTTCAGTTATTTATTAATCTGCTTGATCTTTACTATGGCTATATTCATTCAAGCGCACAATGTTCCAATTCTAATACGTTTTTCTAGGATTTAAAGTAAACTCTAATAAATAGTAATAGACTAATAGGTAATTGCAAGACTTGCAAGACTCTTGCTGCAAGACCAAGACCAAGACCAAGACTGGGAGCGCAAGACCAAGACCAAGACCAGGTGTATTGGCGCAAGACCAAGACCAAGACTGGCTAAGTCTCGTCTTGTTCTTGCGTTTGGGCAACACTAATACTATAATTGTATATATGTATATAGATGTTTCTAATTAATTTATAATTTATGTGAAACATGTTAGACTTGTCTGACTGTCTGAGTCACAAACCACAGTCCACAGATGGAAAAGCCGAGATATCTTCTCGGCTTCGTCGCATTTCGGTTTCAGTCCGAGGATTTCCAAATTCCAAATAGGCCGACAGCGCATCCTACTAGGATGTTAAGCTTAGTCTTCAGGCTCTATACACACATATAGACAGTCGAGTCTTTAAAAATAATGTATTATATTTTTACTCTTATTTTACTATTGTAATTGGGACTACGTGTATAAGGATAAGGGCTTCGTTACGTCACACGTTACGATATTAATTAAATCTGTTATCTAATTTCATCGTATTATGTTTTATTAATCACTTCTGGAGAGTCACTATTGTAACACAGCCAGTACTTTCTTATCATTGCGATTGTAATGCGGCGGACAATATTCTGTATCCGTTTACCAGATCGATTCTATGTATATATTCCTTTACTATAGATTTACAACTGGTAGACTTTAATATACTAACAAGAGATGGAGGTTGTGGGTGGGCCGCCATGTTGGATTTAGAATGACGTCATCAGCATTGACAGCTGAACTGAACCTGTAGGTTGACGATATCCGCCCAGTAATTGAGTTTCAAAATTTACCCAAACAATTTATATACAATTCAAGTTAAATAAAAGCTTTTCAAATTCGATTTGCAGGTTAACGAGCAAGGTATATTCTTTGATTGCGAACAGCAGACGTCGGCCGCTGAGGTGTTGGAAAAGTATCTGATGTCAAAGGTTATAAATTATGAGTAAGTAATTTTCATTTAGTATTTTATCTGTGGATTGTGCCATTGATAAATACTTTTATTAAAACACTGAACTGCACTATGATCCGTCCCAGCTGTGGTCAAGGAGGGAAAATTTGTTGGGCGTCAAAAGTGCAATAAAATGGTGGCGTTTAGTGTTTTTTTTTTTGGGACACATAAAAAATATATACCAATTTAATAAAGCTGAAGAGTTTGTTTGTTTGATCGCGCTAATCTCAGGAACTACGAGATCGAATTGAAAAAACATTTTTGTGTTGGTTAGAGCGTTTATCGAGGGTATAAATCATTGTCCTGTGACAAAGACAAGCGAAGATACCGCGAGAAATGTGAGAAAAAATTGGTAAATTATTTATCATTATGGGTTTTCGACGCATACGCTGCAAAAAAATATGTATCAAAGAATGATTCCTCTTTAAAACGATCAGAAAATAGTCCGCGACGATGTCCTAACGCGACGAACCTACAAGATGTCTATCTTGTAGGTTTAACTAGATCAAGATCGACGGGACACGAACGACGTCGTGGGTAACAGCTATGTTTTATAAAAATGAGGTTTGCAAAAACAAACGCTGATTCCCAAAATTCCTACACGCGGACGAAGTCGCGGGCACAGCTAGTTAATTGATATTGGCATTGGCAAAAAAAAAATTGGCATTTTGATCATTCCTTTTTCCTTCATTTAAGTAGAATATAATGTTGGTAGGAATGGAAAACAGAACTAAGCAAGTATTATATGTTTATGAAAAATCATAGAAATGTAAATATAATCCCTATATGTTAAACTAATAAAGAAACGTAAGTGCATGGATTGTTAGTAATCTACTTTGTTAAGCAATTTTTATAATGTATATGTAGATTATAAATTAATTTAATTTGTTGTTAAGTGTTTGTGTACAAAGTACTTAATTGATACAATGTGAAACTATCTCGCTTGTGTTAGCTCGGCCTCTGAAGGGGCCACAGAATATCGGTGTTGGGACATTAGTCCCAACGTAGCTGAGTGGACTCCTTTTCGGAGGCAACTAATTTATTTTTTTATTATTTCATATGTAATTAGTTATTTTTTTATTATACTTGTAATGATTTTTTTATTGTGTTTCCGAATAAATGTTTAACTTTGTTTCGCCTTTATAGCACGCCGCAGACCCAAAAAACTTTCGTCGATACGCTGCACCAACTCACACCGCTGCCCGGATGCGGCCTGATCCTCCCCCCCACAAGACAGGAACAGGGCGGGGACGAAGTTATAAGGGTTAAGTTCAGCTTGGGAAACGTCTCTTTGGAAAGGGTGGACAGGGTGGAAGCTAACTTTGGAATTGTTTTAAGTTATTATAGGCAAGTTTTTTTGGAGACTTTAATATTTTTCACATGATGGCCTATGTAAATTAAAAATTTTACTACTCGGGCAGGACTTGAACCGGCAACCACAGCGTTCCGTGCTGTTGCTCTAACCAATTGAGTTACCGATTCTTACACGTCATCGTCGTATTTTTTTATTGCGCAATGTCATTTCAACCTTCACACTTGCGTATGTGACGCTGTTGTGTGCCGGTTCAATTCCTGCCCGAGTCGTAATTTTTTTAAAGTTATATAGGCAAGTTTTCTTTATATTTTGTCTCCGTTTATTTTATTAGCACTATTAAGTTTTTGCAAGTGCTACCTGACCAAACGGAGGTAGATGGATAACGTTAGATTCGAGTAGGAAACGACCGAAACGAAATGTCTTAAATAAAACATTTTTAACGGCTTAAAAGTATGTTCGTTAATTTTAATTAACAAATCGTTAAATGCTTTACAGCTGTGTCATGGTTATTGATTGGCTAATATTTTTTAGTGTTTTAAACTGGTTAAAGTGTTTAGTTTAAAACGGTTTTTTTATTGATTGCTATATCCAAGGCGACCAATACTAAATAATTATATAAATTGTATATGTATTACGTTTCAATCCGTTAAACTAAGGAGTTTGAAATCTCGGGTGACCCCTCTGGGGCATTCGGGCGAATCGAATTTATATTAGAGCAATACGAACAAAATGTTATTATTTACGCGAGTAGCACTCTTCAAAATTAAAACAATTTGTCGGTTTAAAACGCGACATATATAAGTTAATTTATTTTGGCCTCCCACGACCACGGTCGCTGCAAGGCATTCGAAACAACAGACCGTAGATAAATTAAATAAAAAGTAATTAGTGTTTTATTTAAATTTATAAAATGTTTCAATTTTTAGCCTTGACGAAAAGAATGTCTTCCTGAAAATCGACTCTACAACGAAGGTTAGGAGTGCGGGAAGAAACGTGTCCGTTGAATGGAATCTGTATGTTAAACAACCACAAGCATTTGATCCCAAGAAAACTCATTGGAAGGTAACGCTCTTAAATTTGAGACCGCTAGAGACAGAGTAGCCTAACTGCAACTTTATGACTTGACTTATTTCTAACTAACTTTGCCCGCGACTTCGTCCGCGTGGAATAGTAAATATTTGTATATTTTTTATTATTTAGGCTGTTTATTTTTTTATAAAAGGGCGCATTCAGCGCAGCCAATCTGTGTAGTAAGTCCCCACTCTCACCTCACAACACTCCACTCCAACACTAACTCCCACTCTCGCTTCCAATCTCACTCTCATTCCCAAAAAGCCAAAGAAGAAAGTTTAATTGTTCTAGCATCAACTTTCATCCCCCTTTTCAACTCCTAAGAACCCTTTTTTGGCATTAAAAGCCTATGTCCTTGGCCTCTAGTATATCTGTGTACCGAATTTCATTTAAGTCGGTTCAGTAGTTTTTGCGTTAAAGCAAGTCAGACAGACAGACATACAGAGTTACTTTCGCATGTATAATATTAGTATAGATTTTACAGTCTAAAAATGTTACAAAAGCACAGTGACCGAAAATTGTTAGCATAATTCTTATACAAATAGTAATAAATAATTATTGCCCAAGTTAATTGTATTTTCGTCCTCATTGAAAATCGTGTTTTTTCTTATTAGGCACCTCTACCTCTAGCAGCCTCATCTAATAGTTGTTTATGAATGTCAAAAGATGGCGTCTGTAGTATCGTATGTCTTAGACTCACTGAGTTCGGAGTAAACTTAAATGGCTTTGTCAACTAACGAAACGATGTACAACATACTGTATTTTCGTTTTTGCATGTGTTGTCTAAAGATGGCGCTATTTAGTTGTAATATCTAAGACTGACTTAGTGTCACTTGCATAGTGTTTTTTCTAACTTGGCAAAAGACTGCAACAAATATGGCCGATTCCAAACCTATAAATAGATAACTAGTGATGCCATTTTATAGAGTATAGTCATTGCTACAGATGAGACAGGGATAACGAAGTAGCCATTATATTAGACCAAACTGTCGCAAAATTCAAAATCACCCTTGCGATCACCTTTTTTTATTTTTTATTATTTAACTCGACGTTTGTAATGCTTTTCAGCGATTGTGCAACAGTGAGACTTTGACTTTGCTTACATCCCATCCTTAAGTAAATGTCAAACTAAATACATTTTAATGTGCCCATTTACATAATTCTTATGTAAAATTATGGTTTTTACTAAGGGAATTTAGGTAGTTTCATTTATAATACGGCGTCTACGTGTTTTTAGTGTATAATATCTATGTAAACCTTTTCAAAAAAGAGTTTTTCTTGTGTGTCAAAAGATGGCGCTTTATAGTATTAAAAAAAGCGTTTGGAGTAAGTTAATATTGCTTTAACTCTCAACGAAACCATTATATATAGAGATGAGACACTTGTACAATGCCTCTCGCATTTCTCTCACACAGTAGCTTCATTTGGTTACTTGACGTTGGTGTTTTTAGTAGTCGGTAGATAGGTATTCTACACCAATATTATAATGCGAAAGTAACTCTGTCTGTCGGTCCGGCTTTAACGCCGAAACTACTGAATCGATTTAAATGAAATTTGGTGCACAGATATTCTACAGCCTGAGAGAAGACATAGGCCTTTTAATGGCAAAAAGGGTTGTTAGGGGTTGAAAAGGGGGATGAAAGTTTGTATGGAAATTTGTGATTTTTAAAGGTAGAACAATGCAACTTTCTTCTTTGGCTTCTTGGGAATGGGAGTGGGCGTGGGCGTGGGCGTGAGTGTAGGAATGAGAGTGCGAGTTAGAATAGGAGTGATGTGAGGTCGGAGTGTTGCGGCAATGTAGCACTTACAACATAGATAGGCAGGCAGCCTTAAATGCCCTTACATATAATAATAAACAGCCTAAATAATTAAAAATTCTACCCCAAATCACTGTTCCACGCGGACGAAGTCGCGCGCACAGCTAGTCAAGAAAATACCGTTTAGAAGTCTTGTGACGGTATAAAACGCGAAATATATTATTAAGTATGTACTTAACAGCAATACCGTGTCATGCGTGTAAAGCATTCTAAACGGCGGCTCGTATTTTTTATTAGAGAGAGGAGTAACCCATACTCCTTGATGGTCGATATACACTACTATACAAGACTAAACGAGCGCTTTTACCTATTTTGGTTTTGGATATTCGGAAACCCACAGACAAGCCGAAACGCAGTTAAACTTGGCGGCTTGTCTTCTAGGAACGATGGTTCGTGACTTCGAGATCGATATTCCATCCATCCATTTAATATCCAGATTTCCAAATGAAGTCCAAGATGTTTTCCAAAAATTATAAATTGATTAGAATCATGTTGGACCCGATGCGGATCGCACCCGCGACCGGTTGTTAGCCGTACGATGCTACCATCAACGAGCCTGTCGTTGAAAATAAATGATTTTAATTTATTTCGCAATACCATACCGTTAAAAGAGTTTTATTCAAACAAATTTATTTCCACATAGCTATGCTACAAAGAAGACGATGTTAGCCACGCCCCATCAGACGAAGACATAACCACGACCCCGTCAGCCTACGAAGGAGTGGTCAGGATGACGTACAGATCTTCGGACAAATTTGTGAGCTGTTCTACAGACGAGAGCAGCAGCATAGAAGTACACTACAAAGGTTCTCCTAAGCACGTTCACGGCGGCTTGGAAAGGAAGGTTGAGTACCAGATTCTTGGGGAAAGGGTAAGTGTTGGTGAAGTCAGGGTTTAAGACCCACCGTGTCGTACGCTAACGCTATATTATTAACTATCTGTGCTCGCAACTTCGTGCTCGTAGAATAATCAATTTGGGCAAAATATTTATTTTTGTAAACAACACACCTAGCTTTATACAATATAGCAGTTAACCACGACGTCGTGTCGTCCGTGTCCCATATCACTGTTCCAGGCAGCCGAAGTCGCAAGCACAGCTAGTTTTGTATAAGGTGGTATCCCGTTCACATTACTGTATCTGTTTTACGCACTCGTTCTTTTACAGGTAAGAAGTTGATCAGACTTGCCCGACCGAGACTTCTATTGTTTTTCCCGGGACTCGATTCCAGGACCTCTCGCGCTTGACAAAATTTTACCTCACACTCGATTACTTAATTAATTACTATTGAAATTGGCCATTGGTGTTGGGGATTTTTGAGCTGGCGTTTCGCCCACCTCTCTTTTAAAATTAACTAGCAAGAACGACGGGACTCAGAAGGAAGGAACGGCAAAGATGAGGAGGTTTGCAAAACCAAATTCGGCTGCACAAAATGACTTACGCGAACGAAGCCGCTGACACAGTTAGTTTTCCTGAATAAGTTAAGAATAGTAGTTTGTATTTGTGTTTTTCACATTACTTGTGAATCAAACAAACACACATGTTCGTTTGATTCTTAGATGTTCTTTTTAAGACAATGTGATCTTCTACTTATTTATCTAGCTTCACGACTTCGACCTCCTACCAAAACTTGGTCTGATGGGTGGAACACCAGCTGGTCAGATTCTTGGAAGCCTGGACAAGGATACCATCAACTCTACTGCAATTATCAAGGTCCGGTCTGCGCTTGAATACAATCTTATTTTATTTAAAAGTTCTAAATAAATAAAATAAAAAAATGGATTAAAACACGAAGGATAACAGTTGCCTTATCTCAATTTAATTACGACCTAAAAGTCGTTTGAATACTTTGAAGCAACCGTAGTTACGGGAAGAACTGCAAATGCGGATGTCCTTAATCAACAAAAAATCTGCTAGATGGCACTAAGTTCACTTACATATTTCGCGTTTTAAACCGTTTAACCGGGCGTTTGTTGTAAATGTGTACTACTCGCGTAAACTACACAAAATTTTTAGAATACGCTTATAAATGGTTATAGCTATAACGTAAGAGCTTATAAATAAATTTAAAGTATTTTAACTTCCTAAAACTTTCCTAACCTACGACTATCAATTCCTTTGTTAGATATTAAAACAATCGTCGAAATATTTAAAACAATAATCTATTATTGTAAAAAATTGGGTTCGATTTCTGTCGTCGTTTTTATAAAGTAAGAAGTATGGAGGCATTTAAATAGAACAATTTAACGGTTTAAAACTCGATATATTAATTAAACTTATTTGAGAATGATTTTTAACTTCGGTCCGACGAAACTTTGCAGCAGCCGTGGTCACGGGGTAGGGAAACGTCGGGCCGAAGTTGAAAATCATTTTCAAATAAGTTTAACTAATATATCGCTTTTTAAACCGTTAAAGTGTTTTATTTAAATGTGTACTACTCGCGTAAACTATAGACAGTATTTAGTATAGAGACAATTGAAGACAATATTTATAGTATTTTTATCCGAACTTAGGAGAAAAATGGCGTAGCATCACTCATCGTAAACCAAGGACCAGAGATGCAATTTAAGTCTGACAACATAGCGTGGCTTCTAGACAGCTTGACAGCAATGCAGCTGATGAAGAAGTTCGGTATTTACAGTAAGTCACTGTCTAATCATATTAATTGATTAGGAATTTGACTCTCGCTTCGTTAGTACAATGGTAGCTATGAGAAAACACTTGACCGGTTTTAAACAAGTTAAAACTAATATATTTAGAGTCTTAAGTCGTTGTATTCGAATTTTCTACTCGCGCAAACTACAGATAGTACTTAGGAATAGTTAAAATACCTAAAAGAGATATTAAAATAAATAACTGCGGCGGCCTGCAAGCGAGGCGTCGATGGACGAACGTGTGAAGTAAGTCCATTTTTGTGCGCCTAAGGTTTTTTTCACTAAACAGCTTTCTAGCAAGCCAGTACGAAATTTAAGTTGGATCTTTGACAAGTTACCTCCTTGGTCGCCATTTTTTTATTTTGCCACTAAAAACGACACGTGGATTTTTATACAACTATTGCCGGGCGCTACTTCAAGTAAGCAAGTTCGATTTATCACGAAGAAGATTGTCTGAATAATGCTCAAACTTCTAAGCATATATGAGACATACTGTCTGTAGTTAAATAAAACACTTTTACGGTTTAAAACACAAAATTTATATTAGTTAAAGTTTTAACTTCAGCCCGTCGTTTCGGATGCTTTGCAGCAGGTGTGTGTCACGGCTGTAATTGTAACGGCAATTTTCCAATGAGTTTAACCAATATATATCGCGTTTTAAGCCGTTAAAGTGTTATAATTAAATTTATGAGAAGCGAATGTTATTTATTTCCCTATCTCTTTAGTAATTTGTATTTATATGTATTTGTGATTATTTTCAGGGGAATGTAGGCTTCAAGGGTTGACTGTCCAAACGCTTTCTGGTTCTGTAGATCAGCTGCAGCCGTTGCAGTGCGCTGAAAGCTTGGTATTAGCTGACTGCTCTGAACTACCGAGGTAACGAGACGAGATTGTTTATCTTTACTAATATTATAAGCTGAAAAGTTTGTTTGTTTAAACGCGAGTATCACAGGAATAACCGTTTCGAATTGACGAAATTATGTTTGTATTGGTTAAAGCATTTATCGTCTGTAATACATCACGCTGAAACTAATAGAAGCGAAAAAATAGCGGATAATGTGGAAATAAAGAGGGAATCTATTGTCGTTCGTGATCGAAATAAAATATATTTTATTGACTAATATTTTTCGATTTTTTTTTGATAGCAGTACAGCCACAATAAAGCCCAAGTCCACCTATTTCCGATATTCTGTGATACACACACTGGAAGCGAAACGCGATTAAACGAGACTACTTTTCATATGTATGATGGTTCGTGATCCGGGCAGAATTTAGTTATTCCTATCACTCATTTCATGTCCAGATTTCTAGACGAAGTAACGTATTTCAGAAAACTGTACATTAATTTTAGAAGCTTGACTTGGGATTCGAACCAACGACCCTATCAAAGCGATTACCCTAGCTATCAAATGGATTATATATATTAACATTTTCAGCTTCGTAATTCTTCGGCAAAAAGATGGCGGCATTAGGATGTACGATATGGACCACAGTGCAAATAACTACACCAAAACTAAGTCTCCGTAAGTATTTAACGTAACGCTAAAAGCAGCCAAGCCAATTCTCAGCCAAGCTTCGGCCAAGTCTCAGCCAAGCCTCTGTCAAGTCTCAACTGAGACTGAAATTCGAAAAAAGTTCCGTAACATGAGCTAAAAATTTGCAGTATGGTTGAGCTATTGACTAGTAGATTTTTTTTATTAGTAAATAGAGGAAATGGGCTACTAACATTATATTTAGTAGATCTTAAGGCAACCCCAGAGAAGTAGTATTTTTAAATTCTGCGCCTAAACGCTAAATTTGCGAAATAACGCTGCAACACGGTTAGTGCTAGCTACCTTATATCGGCCATTGGTGTATGTCGATCATATGATCTACAATCTACATGCTTTTGTACCAAACATTGGCATTTTAACAGTGAAGTAGTAGAATGAGTTACAAATTTATTTATTTATTAATGCAGAGAATGGAATGTTTTAACAATAGGAAGCACGGTGGTCTATAGCACTGTTTAAAAGAAGTGACGTCATCATAAACCCGACCAATCAGGAGCGTCGGTTGTGGTGGTCACGTGGTGCTTAGAAAATTAATTTTCAGATTGCTTCCCATCAACGACGGCGTACGGGTAGCGTCAGAAGCAACAGGCATCCTAATTTATCGGAAACATAACGAGACCGTTATTCTGGTACCGTTCGCATATATGGACACGGTGTGCGGCGAGTGCGTTGGACAAGAGTATAACAATTGTTGATTTTTGTTTTGCTATCCCTACTTGACATGGAATGTATTGATCGCCTTTCAAGTAATTGTTTTCACACACTATATACAACGTGGATGAGAAGAATTAAATGTTTAGTTGTTTTGCTGACGGTACGCAAGTTCTGTATGTGTATACAATATAGCTTATTTTATGTAATTTAAGGATATAATAAAGAATTGTAAGTATACTGTATTTTTGCCTTTTTCGGTTAATTTTAACAGGTATTCCCGAAGCGAGAAGGGATACATTAGTGTCTGTTTAATAGTATCATAGTAAATAGAAGTATATGTAATGCAATACAAAACAACGCTTTAAACCGTTTAAAACGCGAAATATATTGGGTATCTAATTCACAATTTATTTTAACTACGGCCCGACGTTTTAGACCTTACACAGTCACGGGTGGACAAAATATTTCGCGTTTTAAACAGTTAATAGTTTTATTTAAATGTGTGGATACTACTCGCGTAAACTACATACTTCACAATATTTGAGCAACTATTCAATATTGTTCGATTGTATTTTTTGAAATATTTATACTAATATATAAAGCTGAAAATTTTGTTTGTTTGTTTGAACGCGCTAATCTCAGGAACTACGGGTTCGAATTTGAAAATTTATTTTTGTGTTGGTTAAAGAATTTATCGAGGAAGGCTATATAAAAGTTTTCCTTGTGACTAAAACAAGCAAAGATACAGCGAGAAATGTGAAAAAGCTGGGACAATTATTCAACATTATGGCTTTCCGAGGCGTACGCTGCAAAAACGGTTCAAGATATCCAAAAAAATGTGTATGAGAGAATGATTCTTCCTTAAATGATCTAAAAAAAAGTTTACGACGCTATACGTCTATCTTTTAAGATTAACTTGCAGGAACGACGGAAAAGGATGCCACCGACGTCGTAAGTTTATAAAGATGAAGGGGTTTGCAAAAACGAATTTGGGTGCCCAAAAATTCTACGCGGACGAAGTCACTGACACAGCTAGTACTAAATATACGGGTAGTGTTATGTTTAAATACAGTGGTAACTTTGATATTTTGAAAATCATGGCAAAATATAAAAAAATAAAAATTTATTTAGATTACACCTCGACGATGACGTGTGGGACACGGTAGCTCAGCTCAGAGCATAAAGTCAAGGTCGTCAAAATTTTTTATAAATGGACCTTTAAATAAGGTAATTTTTTTAATTTCTATACTTATAAAGCTGAAGAGTTTATGTAACGACCTAATAGTAAAAACAACTGGGTCGGATTGAAAAATTATTTTTGTGTTGTCTAGATCATTTATCCAGAAAAGCTTAAACTATAATACATCAGGCAGCGACCAATAAACTAGCAATGGTCTGTCCAAAGAACTTAGAAAAATGTTGGACACGGTGGGGATCGAATCCACGATCCGATTATAAGCCATGCAAGGATTATGTGTAAATGTACGTAACAAGACAGGGACTATATTTTAGGAACATAAGTGTTATTTAGCTATTGGATTTCCTTCATACAACCGAACATCAAACCAAACAGGATTGATTACGCTTCGTTTACTTAATCCCGCTTCAGGTTTGATAAGTTGTAAATGTATATATCACTAGCTGTGCCCGCGACTTCGTTCGCGTGGAATAGTTATTTTGTACATCTTATTTATTGCGCGAGAGGTGCATGTATCAGTAAGTTGAGAAATTCGACGATGACGTGTAGGACTCCGGACAGAAATTGCATATTCCTACCACCCATTTTAATGGATTTCCAGACGAAGTCGAACATGCTTTATAAAAATAATAAATTGATTACAAACATGTTGGACCATATAGAGATCGAATCCACGATCCGTTGATTAGTACCTAGCCATACTTTGCTACCATTAGACCAACGAGCCTATCATAGATAAGGTGCAAAACATTTTGAAACACAACATTTGTATATTTAAATATAACACTTTAACGGTTTAAAACGCGATATATGTTAGTTAAATTGTTAGAATATAATTTAGACTATGGCCCGACGTTTCGGATGCTTTGCAAATCATTTTCAAACAAGTTTAACTTATATTTATCGCGTTTTAAACCGTTAAAGTGTTTTAACGTAAGTAAACTACAGACAGTACCATTTTTGTATATTGATATTGTTTTGAATGGCATTTAATGAAACTAAAGATTCAAAACAACAAGTATATATACAGTGTTCAACTTATGTTAACGTGCGAGTTCCACGCGCTCAAAGGGTTCTTTGATGTACTTCGTAACACTTGGATGGAGACAGGTTCGATTCCCGCACGCATAAGTGCTTTTAGCTTTGCACAGTGTGGGAGAATGCTTTGGAGGACACAGGGGTTACATGTATAAGGTTTAAATATATATCAGCTGATTAACTAGATAAAACTTTTACACAAATATTTTTTTATTATTATTACAACTAGCTGATCTAGTAAAACTAGTTTCCAATATACATTTCTTTTAGAAAGCTTCTACAAAAAAACAACGGATTACAATATTATGGTAGTGTTTGAACACTTTAATAACAAACACTAAAACACTAAGTTTTAAATCTATGTTATATATTCTAATATTATAAAACTAAAAATTTTAAACGCGCTAATCTTAATTAAATAATTTTTGACATACTTTAAGCTATATAACAACAATGGAAACAATGGAAAATTGTTCTTCTTTGAGTGTTTCCGACGCGAGCGCTGCACAAACGGTGCAAGATATCCAATTAATATGTGTAAAATAATAATTCCCCTTTAAATTATCTAAAAAATGTCCGACCGAATTGGGTCGACACTATAGCATCGTTAAATGCTGTCTGTAGTTTACGCGAGTAGTGCATTTAATTAAAACACTTTAACGGCTTAAAACGCGATGTATATTCGTTAATTTACACGAGGAGACATTGAACATATATTATATACCTTAATTGTTAATAAGTAGGTATGTAGGTAGTGTTATGGTTGAAATCACATTACGCGAGAGGTATCAATAGGTTGTAAAAATTCGACGATGACATATAGGGTACGGTAGGTCAATTTATTAGAGCTGCACCGAACGCTGTGGAAGCTGCTTCAAGTCCCGCCCTATGTCGTCTTTTTTTTCAGTCTAAAATTCATTTTAATTATATAATGCCATCATTTGCAAAAACATGTGAAAAATATTAAAGTGTTCAAACACACGGTTATTTAAAACGATGTAAAACAAGTAAGGCGTCCAAGCCTAACGGTAATTCAAAAATGGAACTCCCTTTGACATCACTTAGCCAGGTTTAAAAGTAATCTAGGCCACTTTGCATCCACATTACCCTACATAGCACGGTCTGAAAATCAAAAGAATACTACCTTTTAAATTTCTAAACATCGCCTTTGTAAGATTAGACTAACCGAGTGTAAGAACGATCAAAGGATACTCTATGCACGATTGCCATTCCAAGCCTATTATCTGTGGCCGCCCTGACCAATCATTACTTGCGCTCGTCGCGTTCCATATTTAAATATGACGTAAAATTGGTCATTCGAGCGTCGAGCGCCGTACGGGATACACGTCTTTTGATCGGTGAAGTGACGATGCTTCTATTAAAAATTGCTATTTATTACTGTGGCGTTAATTTCCAACCTATTTGTTTTATTTATGCGTTGTTGGTTTATGCAGTTGAGGATTTTTTTTATATAGACGAATGGATTTTTAGGTCACTAGGTACGCCTTTTATGAGAGGAGGACTGGTCAGCATCGGGTTTACTAGTTTACATGGTAGGTCAAATACACAAGCCATATAACATCTAAATAAGATGTGCTATCTGCCTATTTCTGGATATTCGGAAATTCTCAAACTAAAATGCTGTTAAACTTGACGGCTAAGTTCAAAAGCAATGTACTTGCCGTTATGTTTTTACTGTTTTATCTGTATTTAGTAATTTAATTAAAAGATTTGAGATTGAAAAAAAAAATACGACCCCGACAAGACCTGAACGGGTATCCACAAGGTTCTGTGCTGTGACTCTAACCAATTGAGTTACCGTGTCCTGCACGTCGTTGTCATTTTTATTTAACTTGGTGATTTGACCTCTGGTCCAAATGTAGTAATATATTATTTATAATGTTTTTTATAACTTGTTTGTTAGATGTCTTGTGTTTGTGAATAAACGCCTTTTAAATACTGTCTGTAGTTTACGCGAGTAGTGCACATTTAAATAAAACACTTTAACGGTTTAAAACGCGATGTATTTTAGTTAAACTTGTTTGAAAATTATTGTTAAGTGTGTCAGTCTCCCCGTGACCACGGCTGCTGCTAAGCATCAGAAACATCGAAAGTTTCGTCTGAAACGTCTGTTTCCATAATTTCCGACCCAACGAACATATCTTGTAATACTAATATACCAATCCGTAATCTATCTCGTATTTTCTAAGAAAATTTAAGAAAAATAACTGACAAGCGATCGTCAATGATCCCCCCCTAATTTGATTCCCTTAAGAAATCCTGCAAATTGCTCTTAAAGTGATTACCACTTGACTCGTAAATTCGGAACGGATATATTTTTCCCCCACTGTTTAATGACAAATAAACATTTAATAAAGTACGTATAAATATACATTTAATAATATTTAATCTATTCGTAGTTCAAGGGGAATCGAACCTAGGATCTTTCTAAGTTGAGGCAATAAGTGCGAGTGCTCCTGGGTTTGAATCCCGGGGCAGCTTAATATTTTTTTTATAATAGAATTCTCTTTAAGTAAGATTTGAACCAGATGCGCCGTTGTCCTATTTTGGCTCTGTATATTTGCATATACACCGACTAATACCGGAGCGCGTTTCACGGCTTTTCCATCTGGCGACAGTGGCCCGTGACCCGGACGGTATTTCGATATTCTTTTATATTATATAAAGATCTAACATGTTTCAGAAGTTTTTTAAATAAAACCCTTTAACGGTTTAAAACGCGATATATTAGTTACAATTGTTTAAAATTAATTTTCAACCACGGCCCGACGTTTAAATTGTTTT